GGCCTGAGTGTAATTATAAGGGGTTGGGCCAAACGTGTGTTACTGCGAATTCTGGAGAAGCAGGGCAACATGTTGAAGAGGCTGTTGTTACTGTTCAGCTTGAGTGAGTGTCGATTATCCTTTAATTCCATCGAGTGCAAAATTAGACTATTACCTTTTCTGTGAAGTTGCTGATTCCCAAGGGAGGGGTAAAATGAACCCATGCTGTTGGTTTTATCTGTGGTAATGGACAGTCATGTTATTTTAAAAACCTAATGGACTGATGGGCTATCTATATTGCTATCTTGTAGTTTTGTTACCTTTTTTGTGAAGTTCTGAAATGCCCTGTGTTTTAGCATGTCCAATAGTTTGCCACTACTGAAGAGTGTAAAGACTTAAATATTGCGTAGGACACGAAATAATGACGCGTCGACACTGGTAACCAGACATGATTACACCAGTATATTTGTGCATTTGTACAGTCTACATAAACATCACCTTATTATATCCGAGTCCTGTTGTATTTCATCCTCAACGCGAAGATTTTCGTCTTCAGAAGACGAACGCGTCGTAGTCCCATGTTGTCCTATCTGTAATAGATGTTTTAGACATGACATTACAAATTTCAAATTCTTTCTAAAATCGCATTTTAAAAACCGTATTTATGTTTATTGTACATGTCCACGATTGCTAAGTATATAATGTTGTATTCGTTCCCTGCCGTACGTTTTTTCTGTTCTGGAGCAGTACATTATACTGTGGGGAAAGTGATCCAGTGATGTGTGTTAACGTTATTAAGGAAAAGTTCGCTCACCCCAAGGTTGTGAATAAGTAGAATGAAGATGCCGACAAGGATGAGAAGACCCGTCGTTACTGTTCCTAACTTCTTCTTACACGGAAGGTTCCACATAGTCACCTGTAAGGAAATGTCTCAAACGGACATCTTATAATCGTAGAGTCGGGATAAGCAAAATGTGCTCGATTCTTGTTTAACATTCATTTTCTCTAAATAAAACTGTTTGGAAACTTAAAAAAAAACATTGATGTGTAAGAACAAAACTGTCACTACAGCACGAGTTAATCCTTGCATTATATTAGATGACGTCAAATTAAACATTGGATGCCCCCGGGTAATTTTTCCTACTCTGTGCGCTTAGTTACCCATGAGTCTAACCTTGTTAGCAGTCTCTATAACCGAGGCATTCAGGGTGCTTTTAAAATGCGTTTTTTTTTCTCCCATGACATGTTACTCTGGTTCTTGTGTCGATCCAGTGTCTGCTGAGGACGCAAATCGGCCGTATTGCCGCACAAAAATCAAAGCAAATCGGTTGTAATGCCATAGCAGACTATGACCTCGCTCAGAATGGGATACTAAGCAGTTCAGGGTTGAATAGAATCATCATATTGTCAGAAGTTATGCACGGTGGACAAACAGTAGCTAGTAAGTTACCACGGTCACTGCTCTCAATACACTTAAATGATAGCAGTTTATGAGAGTTGCTTACTTGTAGACAGGTCCTGCAGTGTTGTTAGTCCGCCAGCCCCTCCGAAAATGTCAACTGTTGAGGATTTGTTACATGTATGCACTGGTGGTGGGACTGGTCTGACAAGCTGACTGACACACGCACTGTGTATTTTATGTAACGTGAGGTCAAAAGTGTCCGACGGCAAATGTCAACGTGTCTTTTGGCACTGTATTGTGTAGTGTTAGTCTCCACCAGACTCCTTTTGCAGGATGAATAAATAGAGGGCAAAATGGAGATTCTATCGGCGGCCATCTCCTCTGGCCAATGATATCCCTTTTTAGGCCGATTTCTACTATTCATTCAGCCTACAAAAGGAGTCGGGTGGAGACTAGTGGTGTATTGTATTCTGTTGTGTTGTGTTGAGTTGTGTTGTGTTCAGTGTTGTGCTATGCTGTGCCGTGTATGTGACATGTTTTTCCCTATCACGGTGCTTTCCACCGCTTTCACACACGCTGTGACACAAAACAAGGACGTCATAACAAGTGTCCACACACAGGGGTGCCAAAGAATTCATATGAATGTTACGTAATCCATACGAATTTTACAGAACTCATGGTTGAATAACTTTGAGGGCTTATCCCGCCCTGATTAACCCCAAACTGCACTTACGCGGGCTTCTTTCACGACATATTAGATCAAATGGCAGGGCGAGGCTGAGAATCGGTGGAACCGGTGCTCGCGGCGCAAGTCACCAAATGAATTTGTAAGGATCGTATGTTTCCGCGTAATGGATCGTATTTATTCCGTAAAATTCGTATGTGTCCTAGTACTAGGTCGTATGTATTCCGTAAAATTCGTATGAATTCCATAGAATTCGTATGTAATCTTTGGCACCCCTGACACACTAACCTTCAAATCATCGCTATCCGAATACACACAGTGGCTTGTCACATTTGTGACACCGTATGTTGACAAATACTACGAGAGAAACGCCGGTGTGTAGAAGCCCTAAGCGTTGTACGTACGCTCATCAAAAAGAACAACAACTAGCTTCTCGATACCTGTCGACAAGTTGTAAATATGTCCTTACCTTACCCTGTAGATGTTACACAAGAGTTGGAAAGGGATGTGACAAATTTTAACTCTGGATAGACCGGTTCGAAATTAGGTCAGTTGCTTTATATATAAAAGCATGCACGTGTCTACCCACCCCACCCTAGTAATTTTAGTTGCATTTATTGACAATCAAATAAAAAAAAAACGAAACGGCTCGCCACTGGACGAAATAGCGGTGTTTTAATTGACGTGCGTGACACCTTAAATCAAGTCAACCAATATGTATCACAGTTTTACAGGAATTTTATCTTTCGATCAAAATAGTATTTGTTTTCTTGTTTCAATGCAGCCCGGTTACTGGTATGAGGACTTGATTTCAAACGGGCTCTAAAACCACATGTTGAGTGTGATGGGTTGAAAGCGATCCGATGTGGCCGTGAAGTCTGTTGAAGCAGACATTTACTAGCCTGGTTACCATACCTTTTAGAGCTCCCGAGTCCTACATCCTCCCCGCAAATTATAGCTCCCGAGTCCTACATCCTCTCCGCAAATATTTGCGGGGAGGATGTAGGACCCGGGAGCTATAATAGGTTTTGTAACCAGGCTAGACATTTACCATGTGCCGATGATCCACACCAGATGTAAACTGCGGTGCCCAGACCACACAAATAGCTATAGACTTTTCGTCCTTCAAAACGGATTGCCAACGCTGGGTCTCTTGCGTTTTGACCCGATGCAACTTTAATGCGACAATTGAAGCTCGCTGCGACGCTATGTGGTCATATGTTATCCTTGTTCTCTTTGCTCATCCGCTCGTGATGATGATAACGGGCTCCATCGCGCCCTGCCCGGCCGGGTGTACCTGTCCCCCCGAAACCGTGGAGTGTACCAACATGGGGCTGGTCCGCGCACCGGCCCCCCTCCCCAGGCTCGTCAGGGTTCTCAACATGGACGGCAACAGTCTGTACGACCTGGAGTCCGTAAGTTTCCGCTGGTTGCCGTACCTGCAGCAGCTGTCCCTACAGAGGAACAACATTGAGAGGATAGACGAACACTCCTTCGCCCAAATCGACGGCCTGCGCCGGTTGTATCTGACGGAGAACAACATCGGGGTGGTCGCGCGCCGCGCCTTCAGACGGCTTCTGCGGCTACGTCGTCTCTACCTGGGGCGGAACCACATCTCTCACCTCCACCCGGACACCTTCCGCCATCTCTCCAGACTTAAGATTGTCCACCTGAACAACAACAACATTTGTACAATCACAGAGGGTAAGTCTGTTGTAGTTAACTTTTAGGACGGCGTAAGTATTCACAGTTTTATAACGCTGAATGGTATGCAAACAAAGAGCAAAAAGGCAAACGTTTCAGCCTCTCGTTTTAGTACCATGTTAGGTACATTTGATTTACACGTACGTGCTTAGTTTATATTTGTTACCGACTCGTCTGTCCTTGTTTCACCCAGGTCTGTTTGAGGGATTGGATAATCTGGAGGAACTGACGCTCAGTCATAACTGTTTATCAGAGCTGCCAGACGGCGCATTCCGGGACTTGAACAGTCTACACACACTCTTACTCCATAACAACAAGCTGGAGTACATTCAACCTAGGGCATTCACAGGTCAGGAAACATCTTTTAAAAAATCTTTCTAAATTCTGTTGTTTTTCATTCTTTTATTTGTTTAAAATATCACCGTCCCTTCTATAATAGCACTTAATTCACAAATGTGCCACTCTAAACTACATTTCTAGATATTGCTGACTGGAGAATGGAGCTCAGCTGTTTATTGGATGACAGGTTAGCTTACTATGATACATGTACGTTTGAATGTAAAACTATACACTTGTACTTCCCATCACTGAGCTATTTTGCACTGTTTATATTGTACAGGTCTTCAATCTCTGACGTCACTTAACCTTTCGAACAACAGTCTGACCAACGTAACGTCTCACATCCTAGACGATCTGCCTTCTCTCCAAGTTCTCGAGCTTAGGAATAATCGCATCGGGTTCATCGGCCCAGAGGCCTTTGGAGCTGCCCCGAACTTGACTTATTTGTACTTGGACTTCAACCGTCTCAAACGGCCACCTGTTTTTGATCATCCACATCCGGGTCTGCGCTTTCTGTCCCTGTCTGGGAACGAGATTGAACAGATCCCGGATGTTGCTTTCCAGAATGTGCCAAACATCCACACTCTTCTGCTCGGGAGGAACAAACTACGACACGTACCTAAAGAAAGTCTAACCGTCGTTAAGAAACTCGTGGTCTTGAACTTGTCAGAGAACCCAATTTTTGAACTTCGTGAACATTCTTTTCAGGGGCTGGAAAATCTCAGGCTCTTGTCCCTGCGTGACTGTCAGATTCGCACGGTTTCTGGCGAGGCTTTCAGTGGGTTGAACCAAATCATGGGGATATTTCTCAACGGCAACCGCATTGTTAAACTTCCGTCAGAGACCTTCTCAACAATGCAGTTCATTTTTAGCATCAACTTAAACCGGAATTTGTTACGTCACATAGAAACCGGCGCGTTTGGAAATCACTCGGCTTCACTGAGGAGACTTTTTCTACAAAACAATCGTCTACAGCGGGTGCCCAAACTAGGCATGGGCATGATGCCAAATCTAAACGACTTTTATCTGGACAGGAACCCGATAAGATCCATTGGTCCTTTGTCATTTGCTCATGTACCGAATCTGAGAATGTTGGGACTACGCAGCTGTAATTTGAGTCATGTCCATGGCGCCGCTTTTGAAGGACTTGGGAAACTACGACAGTTGGACTTGAGAGAAACAACTTACGGAACCTACCATCCAAGGCCTTCACTAATATGTCTTCAGGTAAGAGATTTACTCGATACGCAAACTATAGTCAGTTTAAGTATGGGTCACCGGAAATGCTGACAATTCTTAAGTTACAAAAATAACTTTTTCTACGGATCCTCATATTTCTTGGTATCTATAAAGAAAATTTATCATTTGGTAACAGAACGGGCCGGGATATCTGAAGGGAATTTTATTCATCACAATAGATTTACTGCGCTTTCGTTTATTATTTACAGATCTTGTGGTGGAGGTAGACCATAATCCCTGGACCTGTGACTGTGGCATGCTGGGATTCCACCAGTTCTTAGAAACAGTTCAGCGTTTTTACAGGGAAATCGTTTGCGTGTTCCCGCGGTGGTTACAGGGCGCTAGTCTGGCAACACTTGACTCCAGCAGCCTCAACTGTAGTGAGGATTTTGATCTGTCAGTTACTAGACGTACAGATCTTTTACCTCACAACATGAATTATCATGAGACTGACTTTGAGCTTACCACTGTGGCCAATAGTCACCCAACAGACAACCAACTAACTGCGTATTAAACTGCCTTCGTTACCGCTCAATGACCCTCAAGTGCTAGTCCAAAAATAAACCAAACCAGACAGACAGATACCCACTTCATTCGAGTTTTCTTTATTAAAGCTCATTCAAAGAATTTCTTTCCAAAACATCTCTCTCTCCCATATATTGCAATTTCCATTTTTAGGAAGGTGTTACATACAATTACATACCTTTATCATTATGGTACAAAAGCTTGGGCCTGACACTGACCTGTCTTCTGGCTGCAATGTAGCGACTGAAAACGCTATGTAGCAAAACACATATGACGCAGATTACACGCAGTTACAAATAGGACATCTCGTTTGCCTCGTTGACGGGGTAGGGTGGAGAGCTCTCCTCCCCAGACGATCTGCGAACGGATTTCTCGTTCCCAATGCACAACAAGATGGCGGCTATGAGTCCTCCCAGGACAGGACCACATCCGGCCACGATGAACGACAGGGTGTAGTTTTTCGTGACGTCGAAAAGTTTCCCTGAAATTCGAAATACAGACCGATGTACACATGTGATTGGCACACTCAACAACGAACAGCATTGTATACGAGCGAGTGTACTTCATGAGCTAAAACCTGAAAAATTTACAAACAAAATGGTAAACGTTGTGTTTGGATTGGTTAAGAAAACATATGTTGTTCTTACCTGCGATGGGTGGTGCACCTATTATTGTAATGCTCATCAGCAACGTCATCAACCCCATACCATCTGAAAGTCTTGTAGGACCGACCAGATCCGCCAGGAGTGTCATTGACGTTGTGAAACCAGCTCCTACCAGAAATCCTACAGCAGAGCAGTAGACGGCCAACGCTGGGTAAGTCTTTGCAAGGGGTGACAAAAGAGAAGAGATGCCAGTCGCCAACACGAGAAGTATGTACCAATGCAGATGGCGAAACCTGCGATTCGTGGGAAGAAATCCCGACAGCAGTCGACCAATCAGATCGCCGATAGAGATCATGGAAACGAGAAACGCCGCCTCGTATTGATCGATCCCGTGATGACTTGCGCGCGGCGCGATATGCACGATGGGAATGAACAGACCGAATCCCAAGAAGCACATCTGTGCAATTATGAAACAAACTAGCGAAGGATTGGTCAACAGAGTTTTGAATACAGTTAGCCTTGTCCCACAACTACTGCAAGGGCCACCCAAAGTTTCATCGGGAAGGGGAAGGTCTTTTACATTTTCTTCTTGGTCGTTCTTTTTGCGATTGATTATGTCCACCGGTTGGTCCTGATGGGGGTCGCTAGGGTCCAAAGAGAAAGCTTCGTTACTGTACGCCTGGGTTTCCGTGGCCTCGGCCTTGGCTTCTTGTGGTGGCAATGGTTCGGATTTAGGCGGTGTAGCCAGCTGGATCGGCCTCAACAAGGCCGCGAAGGCTGTGATGTTCAGCATGACTCCGGCAGCGATCAGGAACGACCCTCTCCACCCGTACTCCTCGATCAGGTACGTGAAGAGCAGGGGGAACACCACGTTCCCTACCCCGACTCCGGAGAAGGCGATGCCGTTAGCGATGGCGCGCCGTTTGTCGAAGTATTTTCCCACCAGACTCAAGCTCGGAAACATGGCTAGGGACGATCCTAAACCTGAAGAGAAAAAAATTGAAGAAAGTGTACAATTTACAACTGTGTACAACTATATCTGCCTCTTCTTCTTAGCCCGCAATACAACGGATGACTCACAGCTAGCTGCGCGTTGACTAATGTTATATGTAGTGAGGGAATTGCGTGTGCGAAACAGCACGTAGACTTTGCCCATTTACCAAATTTATGATTTGAAGATGGTATACATTATTGCCTAATGATAAAGCTAGTTTACCATCAGCTTTATGTGTACCACTCAGAAGCTTTGTACGATGACGTTAGGGTCTGGTATCAATGTGTTTTGCCACCGTGCATGAACATATTCGTTTTGGGAACCACGGAGACATTAAAAATATGTCAACGCACCGACCAACACGCCTACAGTGAAGTACAGGGGGGTTATGCTGGTCGCGAATGACGTCGCAATGCACCCAGCCGCCGCCAGGACTCCGCCCACCATCGCCACAGGTCTGAAGGTGAACATGGCGCTCAACATGACACCGAGTAGAGCTAGAAAGGTAAACAACAATCAAATTAATACATATGAAATCATATTGGAATATTGTTCAATGAACTATAGTACTCTCCATGCAGAGGTTTGGGCTTTAGGTTATTTTTTGCGTGTTTAGGCTTTTTTATTGGGGTTTAACCCAATGGGTTGGTGAAAAAATTCCAGTGCAAAAAAGAAACCCCCAGCCGATAAAAAAAGCCTAAAACACGCCAAAAGTAACCCTTAACCCAAACCTCTGCTTGGAGAGTAGAATTATCGTCCCATCACCTAATTTCACCAAATTTAATGAAATAATACATATTTGGCCTCAAAGAAATATTTCCTTGTCTTACTTCCTCCAAATGTGAATCCTAGGCACACGGAAATGACCCATGACGTAGCGGTAGCTGATTGGTTGAACTGCGCCGTGAACTCCTCGAAGAACACGCCGAAGGATCGAATCACTCCCAAGGTGCAGGCGCCGATCATGAAGACGGCGAGAACCACGGCCCAGCCCCACCCTCCGTCTAACGGCTTGGTGTAACGTACCGGCATCTGTAACGGCAATTGTTAGACCACGGAGTTATAACGGGATGGTTAGACTGAATCGTGTAGAACGCAAGACACAGGTGGATCTAGTTATCATCTTCCCCGAATGGGAACGCGAACGCGATTTCGCAGGAGGAAGGGCAGGGAAGGTATTAATGACTCGAAGAGAAAACCTGTATATATGGAACGTTAACGTTATGTTTCCCAGCCACTGTCTGGGGGGCTACTCAGACACGGCATTCAAAGAGTACTCGTGACAAAGAGCGTACTTGAGAAACAACAACAACTCCTTTTAAACGGAGAGCGTTCTAGTTGCTTCAACTAAAGCGGTGCCACTTAACACACCACAGCCGGGGTCTAGTATGCAATTTATTGATAATTTAGTCGACAAGACCACAGAGAACTATCAGGTGTTCATAATCAGATTTGCGAGCAATGTGATGACTTATCAACAAAGGCCAATCTTGCCAAGCCCCATTATTTCCCCAATACACAGCATACTAGCTGGTCGTTGGGTTCTCGCTTGATTGATCATGAGTACAGTTCATCACGCTTTGAACACTGTGTCCACATTACGGACTACCCGAGTAAATATAACCGTTTCACTAAATCTTTGAATGAAACCCTCAAACACGTTGACAGTTCAACTTACCTAAAGAGTTCACACATTGGGAGCCAGCCCGGAGCTATTTCACCTGGTTCAACCAGTTTAAGAAGGGTCAAAGGGTAAAGGTTGAATACTTAAACAGGAGCATGCAACGGTTGAGTGAAGAACTAAGGCACTCCAACATGCTGGCACCCGAAGATGACATGGTGACCTCGACACTCTACATCACGGCGTGTGGTTCTCAAAGTACGCGGATATCGATCTCTATACTACTTATATTATAGTATTCCAGTGCAAAGTCTAGTGCAAATGGTGATTAGATAGCCGACAGGTTTAAGATTTGTAGCTGATTAAATTTTTAATTATACGTTTTATTTGAAAAAGCAACCCAAGGTTGTATGGTAGTAGAGCCATGTTCACAACAATGAGATACTTTAGATACTTTTAAAGATTTCTGTAACGGCTGTTTTTCAAACTGGCCTGAACACAGTACACAAGACCATTTCTTGGCGGTAGCGTCTCAAGTAGACATACTGTGTGTCAGACGCACACATTGCAATGCCATTTTCCTAAGTCAATGTCACCTTTACAGAGGCTAGTCCTAGTGATTATATAATAATATTGTTAATATGCTGCAAGATCGCCATGGGAAAGATTGTAAAGATCACATATGGATTAAAATATTAGACTTGTAAAAAATATCTAAATCCCGTGTCCATACACTACAGTGCCAGTTCACAGGCAACAGAGATTAAACTGAAGACGGAAGCTTCAACGGGTCTAAGAAGTTGGAAAGTTCACAAACCTTCGTTTAACTGTTTGAAGAATCCACCAAGCAGCTGATAATATGGTAAGAACACGTTCGAAACGCAGCAGCAAAACCTGTCTAGACGTCTGTTTGTGAAGCTCACGGAATACGTGAAGGTTACATGGGTCGAATAGAACAAACCACTGCCAGAACCAATCAGGGGAAAGATAACAAAACTCTCATAAAATCACAATGAGGAGGCAGTAGGGGCCCTTATTGTTTTCTGTATAACTTTCAGCATCTGTCGCGTCATTCTTGTTTTTTTAGCATGTCGCAGTCTAAAGAATTTCTTTTGATGGGGTTCATCAGAGTTACAGACTGCTTATTATTGGGGACACACGTATCTACTTGAGATAAATAAACACACCAATCCGTCAACTTCCCACGTTTTATACAGGTACTTAAGATGGAAACGCAATCACGACATAGTTATTTAGGTTCAGACTAGGAGTTAATGTTAGTTGTACTTGGTACATTTTCCACCTCCGTCCAGTAAACAATAAGTAGCGGGCCCGGTACAGGGCTATAATGCTGACAATAACGAACTGAACAAGGCTTTGACGAAGATTTAAAAAACAATACAACCGTACACTATTTTTGCAACAGACTGAATGTTTGTGGCGACAAAAAAAGACACAAAACATTTGCACGATAAAAACAGGAACAACTCTAACTAAAACAATATTTGAAAATGTTATCAAATAAGTCGCTTGCACATTAACTATTGCTTCGTGTTATATAATTATAGACATCAGAATTAAGTCTCCTCGACCTAAATAACTACTAGTAATATAAATAGCAACAAATACAACAATATATCAACAGCATATTGCAAGTGTGCGTGTGTGCGTGTGTATATGGATTGCTCTTTTCTCACAGCAGTTGCCATGAAGGTACATACATAGAGATACTTTTACTGGAGTAAAAATATTGGTATACCTTAAGCTTAACGCACTTAAGTCACTGCATGTGACGAGGTGGGGGAGGGGTATTAGGTAAATCTAAAAACGCTTAAAATCTTTGTCGAATAGAAATGACGTTGACTGTAACGACGTAATTCTCTCTTCCAGCTTCTCAAAAATGCAGCTGTCTTTACCACAGACGGACGATACTAAAAGGCCCATGACATACCATGACACAACTTTCTTTGCACATTGTACAACAATCATTTCAAAATGACCCCCCCCCCAATACACACACAAACACATGGTCACGATTCCACCTTCCCTGGTAGATGTTTGCACTGTTCAGAGGACTACAAGCCAAGAATTTCACAGATTTTGATACTTTCTCAAGAAATAAAGGTCTACTGTCCTTGCCAGACAAGGCATTGCTGATAAACATCGATAGCAAGCTCCACAACCACATATTACACCGATGTTTCGAACACAAACGGCGTGAGAACTTCCTTGTCGTCTGACTTGACGACGCTGGGCCGGGCTCGATTGGCGGGACCGGTTGGAGAGCTCTCCCTCCCAGACACTCGGCGAACGTTCTCGTCCCCAAGGCACAGCAAGATGGCGACTATCAGTCCTCCCAGGACGGGAGCACATCCGGCCACGATGAACGACAGGGTGTACGTTTTAGTGGCGTCGAACAGCGCTCCTGTGGAATAGAGTATTATAGTGCGCATTGATTGATAGTAATAGTACACATTAATTGATGAAACATGGTATGCATGGTTGTTGGTACTTGGTAGTTAGTGTCTGTGCCATAGAGAGAGAAAGAAAAACATAATCGTATGTGATGTTTCTCTACGACTCTTTTTTTCATAGTTGTAGATTCTAAGACGGTTGATTCTCGGTTATGTAAAGGCGAAAGAAGGCATATATGTTAATGACGTCCATACCAGCGACAGGGGGTCCACCCAGAATCCCCACGCTCATCAGCAGTGTCATCAGTCCCATGGCGTTGGAAAGCCTTGCAGGACCAACCAACTCCGCCAGGACTGTGAGTGATATGGACATGGACGCACCTCCCAGTATTCCATAAAAGACGGAGTACGTGGCTAACGTTGCGTACCCACTTGCCAGCGGTGACAAGAGAGACGAAGTGCCCATCGCCAACATGCACAGGATGTACCAATGGAGGCGGCGGAATCTGCGTGACGTGGGGAGAAACCCCGACGCTAGCCGGCCCACCAGGTCTCCTATAGAGGTCATAGAGATCAGGAACGCCGCCTCGTACTGCTCGATCCCGAGATACCTTGCCCGTGGGGCCATGTGCACGAAGGGAATGAAGAAGCCGAACCCGAGAAGGAACACGGAGATTGTCAGACACACGAATGGAATGTAGGCCAAGAGTGACTTCCACTGAGCCAGAATCATCTTCCCCGGACTTCTGGGAGTCGGCGTTGCTGATTTCCCATTCGACACGATTGCAACTTTCATCTCGTCGGTGGGACCGGCGCCGGCGTGTGATGCCATCTCAGAATCGTCCCGGGGCAAGTCTCTCTGCTCGCCGTCCGAAGGCCCGTTGCGAAACGGTGCCTTGGGGTTCGCCGGAGCTTGTGCGTCGGGTCCCGGTGTCGGCATAGGCAGCTGGATCGGCCTCAACAAGGCCGCGAAGGCTGTGATGTTCAGCATGACTCCGGCAGCGATCAGGAACGACCCTCTCCACCCGTACTCCTCGATCAGGTACGTGAAGACCAGGGGGAACACTATGTTGCCTACGCTGACGCCTGAGAAGGCGATTCCATTAGCGATGGCTCGCTTCTTGTCGAAGTATTTTCCCACCATACTCATGCTCGGAATGAAGGCCAAGGACGAACCGAAACCTGGGGGGGGGGGGGCACAGCGGTTTTATCAGTGTTGTTAACAGGGCAAAAACATCATCTACAACAAAAATGATGATGTGCAAATGGAGCAATGATCATTATAGACACTGTTTCCTTCGTAGTTAGGTTCGAGGCGTTTCAATACCACTCCACCCTGCACTAGGGAAGACAAGTACTGTTGAGTGTTGTTCCAAACAGATTTCAGATCCTCTTTACAGATTTTCTACAACGCTTGATAGACGATACGAATAACGTAGATTCTGATTGATAAGTCGCTCGCCGTAATCTGAAACCAGGTCTCAAGTTGAAGAGAAACGTTACCTAGCTCCATAACTCACCAGTGAGCACCCCTGTGGTGAGGTACAGGTGGACTATACTGCCCGCAAATGACGTCAGAATGCACCCAGTGGCCGCCAAGACTCCGCCCACCATCGCCACAGGTCTGAAGCCAAACATCGTGCCAAACATCCCGCCGAAAAACGCTGGAAAATATTTTTATAATAACCAGCATCAACATTTAAGTTGTGTCTGGGTGTTTGTGCACGTGTGATTGCATTATAGTCTTATTAAAACAGTTTTGGTCTTGCTTTCCTTTTGACAGCAAACGTTAACCACCAAATTTCGAACCACCAAAAGTTTATCTCAAAGAGACATTTCAAATTCTCCCTACCTCCTCCAAATGTGATTGCCATAGCAACGGAGATGACCCATGACGTGGCAGTTGCTGGTTGGTTGAACTGCGAGGTGAACTCGATGAAGAACACGCCGAACGACCGTGTCACTCCCATGGTACATGTGCAGATGACGAAAACTGACAATACCACTGCCCAGCCATAGCCGCCATCCAGAGGCTTGGTGTAAGGTCGCGTCATGGTCTGAAAAACTAGGTAAGCATCTCATGATTATCATGTGTACATTGAAAACAGCATAAATCGATGAAAAAGATTTTTGCCTTTTGAAGACGAAAGAAGATGATAGCGGAAAGTTATAGTTGGAGGGAAGACGAACGCAACATTGCGCTTTTCTCATTTGCCACCGGTTTGGAAAATTTTATCGCTGCCAGTTGAAGATGGGTCAAAGGGTAAGGGGAGCAAAGGTTGGAGACTTAGACAAAAGCATGTGACGGTTGAGTAAAGAACTAGGCACTCGACACACATGCTGGCACCCGAAGATGACATGGTGACCTTTAGACTCTTCATCACGGCGTGTGGTTCAAAGTACGCGGATATCGATCTTTCCTACTTATGTTGTATTATTCCAGTGCAAAGTCTAGTGCAAAATGGTGATTAGGTTTGAGATTTGTAGCTTAGGAAAATTTATAATCATACGTTTTATCTGCAAAATGAACCCAAGGTTGTATGATAGTAGAGCCTTGTTCAGAAAAAAATGAGATACTTTTGAAGATTTCTGTAACGGGTATTTGTCAAACTGGCCTGAACACAGACCACGAGACCATTTCTTCGCGGCAGCATTTCAAGTAGACATACTGTGTGACAGACAAACGTTGCAATGCCATTTCCCAATTCATTGTCACCTTTGCAGAAGCTAGTCCTTGTGGCTTTTAATATGTTGCAAGATTGCCATAGTAAAGATTGTAAGGATCAAATATTGACTAAAATATTAGACTTGTGAAAAATATCTAAATCCAGTGTCCATACAGTGCCAGTTAACGGGCAAGAGAGATTAAACTGAAGACGGGGAAGCTTCAACGGGCCTAAGAAGTTGGAACGTTCACAAACCTTGGTTTAACTGTCTGAAGAATCCACCACGCAGCTGATCATATGGTAAGAACAGCCTCGGAAATGCAGCAGCAAAACCTGTCTAGACGTCAGTTTGTTGACCTCACGGATTTACCTACGTGAAGGTTACGGGGGTCAAATAGAACAAACAACTGCCAGAACCAATCAAGGGAACGATAACAAAACTCTCATAAAATCATATCAGGTGGCAGCAGGGGCCCATTCTTCCCGTTTTTCTTTGTATCATTTCAGTTGCATGATTTTTTTTGTTTAGCTTGAATATGCCGCAACCCTATAGGACGTATCCAGCTTAGGCAAAACCAAGGAGGTTAAATATTAACCTCCTTAGTATAACAGAAAGGTCGACCCGCCAACCTCCCACATTATATACGTATACAGGTACTTAAGATGAAAACGCAATGACGACATAGTCATTTAGGTTCAGACTTTCCTGGATAGAAGTTTATGTTAGTTGTACTTGGTACATTGTTACATTTTTAACCTCCGTCCAGCAAACAATAAGCAGCGGACCTGGTACAGGCCTATAATGCTCACAATACCGAATTGAACAAGATTTTGACGAATATTTCGAAAAGATATAACCTTACACTATTTTTGCAACAGACTGAATGTTTGTGACGACGAAAAGACACAAAATATTTGCACAATAAAAGTAGAGATGACTAACTAAAACGAATATTCGAAAATGTTATCGCAGTTGCTTGCACATTAACTATTGCTTCGTGTTATATTATTGACGTTAGACTTAAGCCTCCACCTAAATAACTAATCAGCAACAAATATAATACAACAATATCAACAGCATATTGCAAGTGTGCGTGAGTGAGATTTCTTTACACGTGTGTATATGGATTGCTCTTTTCTCACAGCAGTTGCCATGAAGGTACATACATAGAGATACTTTTACTGGAGTAAAAATATTGGTATACCTTAAGCTTAACGCACTTAAGTCACTGCATGTGACGAGGTGGGGGGGAGGGGTATCAGTTATGTCTAAAAACGCTAAAAAAACTCTGTCGAATAGAAATGACGTTGACTGTAACGACGTTATTATCTCTTTCAGCTCCTGGAAAATGTAGTTCTAAAAGGCCCGTTACATACCATGACACAATTGCAACTTTCCTCGCACATTGTACAACAGTCATTTCAAAAAGACCCCCCCCCCATACGCACACAAACACATGATCGCGATTCCACCTTTCCCGGTAGATGTTTGCACTGTTCAGCGGGCTCCAAGCCAAGAATTTCACAGATTCTGATACTTTCCCCTTGAAACAAACGTCTACTGTCCTTGTCAGACAAGGCATTGCTGATAAACATCGATAGCAAGCTCCACAACCACATATTACACTGATGTTTCGATGACAAACGGCTTGAGAACTTCCTTGTCGTCTGACTTGACGACGCTGGGCCGGGCTCCGTTGGCGGGACCGGTTGGAGAGCTCTCCCTCCCAGACACTCGGCGAACGTTCTCGTCCCCAAGGCACAGCAAGATGGCGACTATCAGTCCTCCCAGGACGGGAGCGCATCCGGCCACGATGAACGACAGGGTGTATGTTTTAGTGGCATCGAACAGTGCTCCTGTGGAATAGAGTAGCATATTACACATTAATTGATTGAAACATGGTATGCATGGTTGTGTCGTTCTGTGTTGTGTTGTGTTGTGTTGTACAGAATATTTGGTAGTTACATCTCAGTGTCTGTACCATTATATATATAAAGGGAGAAAGAAAAACATAACATTTGTCAATCGTGCTTCCCTAGGACTCTTTTTCATATTTTGAAATTCTAAGACGGTCGCTGCTTGGTTATGTAAAGGTGGAAAATGACGTCCATACCAGCGACAGGGGGTCCTGCTAGAATCGCCACGCTCATCAGCAGTGTCATCAGCCCCATGGCGTTGGAAAGCCTTGCAGGACCAACCAACTCCGCCAGGACTGTGAGTGATATGGACATGCACGCACCTCCCAGTAGTCCATAGAAGATGGAGTACGTGGCTAACGTTGCGTACCCACTTGCCAGCGGTGACAAGAGAGACGAAGTGCCCATCGCCAACATGCACAGGATGTACCAATGGAGGCGGCGGAATCTGCGTGACGTGGGGAGAAACCCCGACGCTAGCCTGCCCACCAGGTCTCCTATAGAGATCATAGAGATCAGGAACGCCGCCTCGTACTGCTCGATCCCGAGATACCTTGCCCGTGGGGCCATGTGCACGAAGGGAATGAAGAAGCCGAACCCGAGAAGGAACACGGAAATTGTCAGACACACGAATGGAATGTAGGCCAAGAGTGACTTCCACTGAGCCAGAATCATCTTCCCCGGACTTCTGGGAGTTGGCGTTGCTGATTTCCCATTCGACACGATTGCAACTTTCATCTCGTCGGTGGGACCGGCGCCTGCGTGTGATGCCATCTCAGAATCGTCCCGGGGCAAGTCTCTCTGCTCGCCGTTGCGAAACGGTGCCTTGGGGTTCGTCGGAGCTTGTGCGTCGGGTCCTGGTGTCGGCATAGGCAGCTGGATCGGCCTCAACAAGGCCGCGAAGGCTGTGATGTTCAGCATGACTCCGGCAGCGATCAGGAACGACCCTCTCCACCCGTACTCCTCGATCAGGTACGTGAAGACCAGGGGGAACACGATGTTGCCCACGCTGGCGCCCGAGAAGGCGATGCCGTTAGCGATGGCTCGCTTCTTGTCGAAGTATTTCCCCACCATGCTCATGCTCGGAATGAAGGCCAATGACGAACCGAAACCTGGGAAGGGCACAGCGGTTTTATCAGTGAGGTTAACAGAGCAAAAACACCATCTACACTATATGATGACGTGCAATGGAGCAATGATCATTATAGACACTGCTTCCTTCGTAGTGAGGTTCGAGGCGTTTCAATACCACTCCAGCCTGCAATAGGGAAGACAAAGTACTACAGAACAGATTTCAGATGCTAGGTCTCGTTTTCTAAAACGCTTGATGTACATGTTAGATACGAACAACGTAGGTTCTGATCGGTAAATCGTTCACCGTAATCTGAAACAATGTCTCAAGAGAAACGTTACCCAGCTCCACAACTCACCAGTGAGCACCCCTGTGGTGAGGTACAGGTGGACTATACTGCCCGCGAATGACGTCAGAATGCACCCGGCCGCCGCCAAGACTCCGCCCACCATCGCCACAGGTCTGAAGCCAAACATCGTGCCAAACATCCCGCCGAAAAACGCTGGAAGATATTGTTACAAGAACAAAAATCAACATTTACTTTTATATCAATGGGTGTTTATGTGCACCTGATTCCATTATATAGTCCTCTTAACAGCCTTTGTCTTGCTTTTCTTTTGATGACGAACGTTACCCAGCAAATTTTGAACCACCAAAAGTTTATCTCAAAGAGACATTTCAAATTCTCCCCACCTCCTCCAAACGTGATTGCCATAGCAACGGAGATGACCCATGACGTGGCAGTTGCTGGTTGGTTGAACTGCGAGGTGAACTCGATGAAGAACACGCCGAACGACCGTGTCACTCCTATGGTGCATGCGCAGATGACGAAAACTGATAGTACCACCGCCCAGCCCCAGCCGCCATCTAGAGGCTTGGTGTAAGGTCGCATCGTCGTGGTCTGAAAAACAGGGTAAGCATTTCATGATTATCATGTGTACATTGAAAACAGCATTACAAAATCAAATAGATTTTTGCCTTCTAAAGACGAAAGAAGATTATAGCGGAAAAAGTGTAGTTGAAGGGAAGACGAACACGACATTGTGCTTTTCTCGTTTGCCACCGGTTTGGAAAATGTTCTGCTCTCCTAGATCCTATTGTGTCGTTATGGGCCTTCGTACTACTGCGCCGTTGGCTACGATTGAAACTGTTAAAAGCACTTACACGCAGGTAATATACTAGATTTATGCAGACGTTTTGCCAACTTTAGCCTCCAAGGTAAAATATATTTTACGATCTGTCCCTACGTGGACTTTTCTTGGAATTTGGGGGCGTTTCCTGGAACGACGGTATAGATAGAAGGCGCCTACGCTAGCAGCATGATCACTGAGGCTTTTAGATGGCAGATTACATAAATTCAAAGGAGACAGGTCCAGAGGGATTCTCTAACGCGCGCGCCGGGTGCTGCTGTCTGATGGAAGGAAACAACGTCATCACGTTTCGTGGTAAAAGGCGGCGTTTCTCGGAACTTACGTAACGTCTTCGCAGAGGTGTAATCAAGTCTGGTGATTATTATTATTTCTCATATATATATCAAAGAGGAGTATATATATATATATACGTATATCAAAGAAGAGAGGTGGGGATTAAAATGCACACTTTTCTGTCAAATCAATCAAGGTGAATGACAAAATGATAGGGGAAATGTGTTACCTATATTACAGCTTCGAATATGACCACACGTAATGTACAATCTTTACAAAAAATTATAAGTATATGTGACTGGAGGCTTTCTAAAAAAAGAAAAATGCACAACATGAAAAATGAGCGGGAAGACGAAGAATAAATATTCAAAGTGTCACACACATACACACGGAAAATATTCGTCCGACTCACTTTTGTCCCGGCCTTCAGGTTCACGTGTAAGACCATCCTGAATATTGGAAACCCAGACGAACAACACTACCCTCTGATCAGCCGTGGTTCCGAAAGGGCTGGTCCATTCTAACCTGAGGGTATGGCGGCCTGTCACTTTCCTACCGTTTTTAACACTTTCCTACCATTTTTAAGTATCTGCTGCCAAGGATTTTGGAACCGACATCCGATATAATGTTTGTCAACATCTATTTCTACGCCTAATACTAAGTTACACGGTGTTTTTAGATTCAGGTGGTTTATGAATGGATGATTGATAAATGACACCCCCGTCAACGAAATGAAATGGGCCAAAAAGGTCGTTGGGGCGCTTCTTCGGTTGTCCCTGTCGGATGAAACAGTGTACTTGCCCCATTATCAATATATTCATGATAAATGTATGGAGAAATACGAAGGTATAGCCAAAACGAAATACAAAGATATGTTAGGCAATTCATATGGCTAGCATGGGAAAATATGCCTCAATTATGGTGTTCTCAAGATGCCCGCTCTGGACGTCGTATAACAAAAATGATATAACACATGCAGACATTCAAACATCTTTTCACACTACCTCTTCCCTAAGGTTAATGGAACAGCCCCTAACGGTCTTAAGACCAGGTACGTACGTGTTTGACTGTACTAGCACGTAAATTAGGTGAAGGATGGCGGCTCGTAAGCCAGGAAAAAAAACCTCGAGCATTACGGCCTTTTAGCTCTGGTTAGAAACAATACACAATGCATCTATTACATACGAGAGGGTAACAGGTACATCTATTCAAATCAACGCGACAATGCATGTTTTATGTTGACCTTATGAAAACCATAATATTCTGACAAAGGTTGACAAAAAAGACAAAAAGCAACTTGACTGAATTAAAGATTCATTTAAACCGGCAACCTGATACATTTTCAGAACAATGGACAGGACTAGACCTTTAGAAAGACCGTGACACACAGGTGTCATAATTATGTTCCTAACTGTGTATGTACTGTGGCAAAGGCGTGTGTTGAACATGACTAAGCCCCTCTTGTTAGCGGCCGTTACGAACTGTCAGAGCGTCACTCCGACATGCTTTATCTCCAATCCACTTAACAGACCTCCGTGTACCGAGGGAACTCCCAGAGAACAACCATTTATGGTCCTAAAAAGCCCCTAATCAATGGTTCTTTGTCTGCAAATTGAACTGCAGATAATTCTAGACTGTGTCCGTCGTGCATGTTGCGTGCACACGTATGTTAAACGTGCTGTACTTTAATAGTGTCACGTTTTGTACTGAAGATCTACTCGCGTGCTCCAGTAACGTGCCAGACAACCTGTTCTGTCCTACATCCAACAGCCTTGAACTAAATCTCCAACCATGTCGACAAAAAAAGACGAGAATACGGACAAAAACGGCTCCCACAATGTCTCCCTTCACTACCGAGGGACAAGTAGAAACATTGAAATAAACACAAGCTAGATAGTTTCACAATCAGGATGCAGGTTAAAAGTCCAAGGCAAATTTTCAACGATACCGCCACGAAGGAAACGGTTCACTGCTTAAGGTTAGCGCTTCTTGGGGCCGGGGCCAAGGCTATACCAGTCCCTATTTATAGAGCGACTATAAACCCTTAACAAGAACGTGCCCCATCCCTGCACTTATAATTTCCATTAGCACTACACAGGTATAATCACTAGAAGGCCCTAGAACGAAGAAATAAACACCAGACAGATTTGCATACACACATATGTCCGCGTCTGACAGAACAGTTTGGGTAGCCTTGGCCTAGTTTCCAACCCGTAATCGTAAATTTCTAATAACGACCGGGCTCTCCGATAGGCAGTCACCTAGCTACTCAGTCGGTCACGATTATGAGATAGATATTTCACACTTATATAAACATGTCTGGTAGTCACGTACACATATTGTCCTTAATGGAACCCAAGGCAACAGCACACAAAGCGGCAAAGCGTGCGCTGAGCCAAAATGTTGAACTGAACACAACAAACTTATCACGGAACAGACGATAACAAGGTAAGACTTACCGAGAAAGTCACCTCGAAAGATCAAAACAGGATGGTGACACTTAGAAGCCGGAGCTTGCCAACTTAACTGCGGAGCTTTGCCTCGAACACAGCTAATTTTAGCCCGTACCCTTGCCTTGGAGCGCTCAGGTGTCATCTGAGGCATGCAGGCTCGGGCGAGCAGGCCAGGTATAACCACGCCCCCAGCTGACCTTGGTTACGCAAGTTGAAGTCTTAACATCTGTGTGACATCAGTAAACTCACCCTCCCCACTTAGTGTTACACATAAACCAGCATCTAACCTTGGAAGTGATCAGTATAAACAGCATGTTATCAAGTGTTTTTAAATCATGAGAAAAAAGCCACGCCCCCTGTGACCTTCGCTACATACGTTAAAGTCTCACCATCTGTGTGATATCACGCCCCCCCCCACTCCAAGGTGTCGCAGCAAAATAACCTTGGAAGTGACAACTATAAACACAAGCGTATCAAGTGTTTTTAAACTTCCTGAGAAAAACACACGACTGAGAGCCAATCGACCTAGTTGTAAATGCACCATATCAGACAAGCCAAGGACAGCGACATGAGCCAGGTTGAGTTGACCGTGCGGGCATTGAACTGTGATTACTCTCCTAATTATCTCTGCGAAGAACTTAAAGGTTATGTTTTAACCAGAGATCCCAACAGTTTCTAAATTGTTGGAGTGAGAGGGGTTGTTCTAGAGAAGAGATGACGACATATTGGGGCATATCTGGATTTAATTCGAGTGGAATTAATTTTCAAGGATTCCCAATCTCAAATATCACGTGACTGACCTCGTCAGTAGCTAAAGAAAGATGGTGGATACCGTCTGAGAGCTTCTACACTTTAACCTTAGTATTAAAAGCCGTGTGTTATGATGGATTCGCAATCTTTTTCAGAAGACGCCTGAGAAGCCGAGTGTGAACCATAATGAAAGTTCAGCACAGTACGCCGGGTTCTCGCCAACCACTAAAACAACATGACTTCTTAAAATCACATGTGCATGACGATATGTGAACGTCAGATAAAAATACACGTACAGTTATTTTCTATCCCTACCAATTAAACATCGATCTACAATTGCAATAAGATGTATTTTGACACACAATTTTTGGCCCGCTTCTGTTTACCTGAAGCACCCCTCCCCACCTGGGCTTTACCTGCGTTCGGGGTGCTTAGTCATGCACGCTTGTAAAAACACGGCGTGGGCACAAACATGCTGCTTAAGCACAACCATTTATTTCCATTTCAACATTACCTTTTGTGTTTGGGCATGGGCGGAACCTTACCTTGATTGTGACTGACGTTCTGGTTTGACCGATCGATGTATTATTGATGCAATCTCACTGCCAAGTCTAACGTTCAAGTGTCTAGAACGTACGTGGCCACACGTTCACGTAGAGTAACGATTTGTTACGTTACGCCGCAGGCAAACTAAAACACTGTTAAAGGACAAGTCCTTAAGAACGAGTCCTTTAGCTAGGAAGAACTACAACAAGTGTGTTCTTGTGTACACAGTGGGTCCTTAGGAGTGGTATATATTCCTTATCAAGATATAAACAGACGCCCTCGTTGACTGGTTTGAAGTAGATTTTTCTGGTAAAGCTTTGTACGTGCATTGCTTGCAGCTATGTACGGTGTAGCTCATTATTGTCAACATGAAGCGTGCAGTCTTGCAAAGTAATACGTGATGTAATACAAATATGCTTGACAACCTTTCCTTCTCTGAAATATAAAACAGATCTAGAGTTACTAATATACATCCTCAGGTATAACCATGTCTGTAACAGCCCTGCTGCGTTATATCCGCATCAATTACTAGTAATCACAGGGCTTGAAACACCACCTGCGTATGAAGGTTAGTGCAGGTTTAAAATTGGAACTGTGCGGGTATTTCTGATGTCTACATGCACTTAACCTTCACCGGTCCATGTACTGGGTTTATATATACAAATGTGGGTGCATGTGGATTTTCATTAGCTGTATAGCTGTACTGTCACCACGTATGAACTGTAAGAGAAATAATGACAGTGGAACAGTTTTGATCCACACTTCACAAATTCTAAGTGGTGCAGGTAATTTGGAATGTTATCGGCAGATGGAAAGCATTTCGAGCACTGCATCAATAGAATTTTGTGAATTTAACATATTGTACATCACGTTCCCTATGCATCGTTGGGTGCTAGCTACAATGTACAGTGAACCAATTCTTGCGTACCGTCGGTATCCCTTTGATTGAACGCCAGTGACGGCAAACAGGCGAACAAATTCAGGGGCAGAGCTACAAACTACATATTCAAGGCGGAAGCGGCATGCCCAGGCTGGCGCACTTCGTTAGGCCTGCGTCAATACGTGTACGTACGTACGTACGGATGCGACCTACAGCACGTTAACCTAGGGTCACGCCAAGACAGGTAACGTTAACGTTCTGTGCGCGTGCGTGTGACAGGGGGGACGTATCGTGTGATGTTTCAGGGGAGGTATCATGTTATACAACGTAAATAAATCATTATATAATCATCCTATAGTTACCCTATGATTATGCTTATGTGATCTGTAACCTCTCTAGTTGAAGTGCATTTTCAGGTTTGAATAAAGGTTTCCAAGAACCATGCACAAAAAAATCCAGCTACCCTATGATTACGTTTATTTGATCCGTTTACATCTCTCTTTGAATTGCATTTTCAGGTTTGAACAAAGGTTTCCAAGAACCATGCACAAAAAAATCCAGCTACCCTATGATTACGTTTATTTGATCCGTTTATATCTCTCTTTGAATTTTCAGGTTTGAACAAAGGTTTCCAAGAACTCCGCACAAAAAATCCACACGTCAATGTTTCACACATCTCATAGGTCTAGACAGATTAGATAGATAGATGAATTGATGGATGGATAGATGGATATAGATCTACATCAAAATAACGCTTACGTATCCCTAGGTGGTTTGACCCTTCCAGACATAGATCCCGTTGTTTATACATACACCACATAGCGGGCTCCTGCAGGTCAGGTCAACCTTAGGTCGACTCAATCAATAGCCTTCACAATTGTTGTGCATTATCCAACTGTTAATACGTGACAATACGGTAAAGCTAACGATTAAAACAAGGAGATTACCGAAGAACGGCAACAACGATACGCAACAACGATTGCCCTCCTGGTAAACTATGCACTGGAAAATTTGCATTATCGAAACAATGTACAACCTTATTGCAGTGAAATGCGAGTCGGTCAGAGGTATAGAGTTAGCCAAGATGAATTACATAGCAGCAGATATCAGCAGCTAACACCATGGCTAACACGGCCCTTCATGAATAATTACACGTACCTCGCTTGTACTTGCCCTTCTATGGTCTACAACATCGCGTGTAGCGCCTGTGAATGCAGGGAAACAATGCCTTCAGTCTGCTCGGCACAGCCGCACGAATGCCGCCGGCGCGCGGGCGGCGCTAGACTGTGTTTCATTCTTTCTAGAAAAATCTTTCATGACCCGCGGCTTTGCAAAATACGCGTGCAGACATAACAAGACGTGCTCTGCTTAGGTAGACTGAATTGACAGGATTTAACCGTCATTTCATATCTGTACAACACGCGATCGGCAGTTTATATGTCTGAACGTCCGACGTGTTTCTCTCAGACTGAGCCTGGAGAATCATTAAAAACACACGTACCTGAGCACAGTAAACATTTGCAACCCAATAAAAGACGCTATGTATAACCTATCATACCGGCCAACATGCCAAACCAGCCTTCTCGTGTGATTTACAAGAACTTGATGAACTTGCTGTCGCATTCCTTTTGGTAGTTGCTTCTCCGCCATTTCAAGTTTCTCTCTGATTTATGAGTTCAGTACTAGTAGTTGAACAGAAAAAGAGAACTAACTTCATGTCATACCTTGGACGATACCGGAGTCCACACAAAGACAGATAACGTTAAGTTCAAGTACACCACATCATGTTGACTTTGGCGGGACGAGCCTAGGGCGTCTTGTTGACGGTGGAATTGTTGTTGTTCCAAGAGGCCACTGAGCTGAACTTGTTTTGGAACATCGGATCCAGGGAGCCGCTACCAAGTCTGTGGAGTGAAGAGAGGGCGGGTCCATTTAGAAAATGAAGGGGGTGAGAACCTTCTGTCTTTTATGCACAGATGAAGGAGCAAATCGGCATACCATTGTGTGAGTCAGCTTGTAGGTATAAAAGGCTACATTAAGCAATTGCGGGAAATGTGAAAGAAATGCTTTTTATTAGAGATGCACAAGTTGAACACAAAACAAATAGAACAGAACGTGTTCAACACAATCAATGAGCTTTAATCATTACATATGAATCGAGAATCCTTGAAACAATATAACGTTAGATGTCTGTAAAACGTCTCCGCCTGTCCTCCCTCCGTGCGTGAAGTAGAATAGCCCAAAGCAGGCGATGTAACCAATCAGGGCCCGTGGAGAATGCGGGACGTGAGGTTAACTGAGGACACGTCCTCCGCTGACACCTCGGTGATACGGCACGTCCGTACCCGGCGCATGGGACGCTTTCTGAATACTAAAATATCGTGATAAAACATTCCGCGTAAAATGTCATCACATGCCTGGCTGTTTTCAAGGTCCACGGATATCAATCATGCTCTTAAAGTGACTGATGCGGCCCAATAAAACATCTTTATGAGAAATTTTGTTTTGGTAGGCTAATTCCAACATTAAATTAAAAAGTGATGCATTTATTTTTTTCTACGAAAGACAAATGATGTAGAACCAGGGAACTGTTTTACGATCAAAAATACCTTTCAACTTTGTTGGCCACAAATCTAGACGTTTGGCGAGCTCGTATAATCTTGGACGAGGAAAAACAGTATTGGGGGACTTATGTGTTGTATCATGGCTATTATATTATATTATATTATATTATAGAGTGTAGGTAAGACTTGTGCACGTGCATGCGAGACGAATGAAAGCTTGATTGTCTTTTTAGACAAATGGAACAAAACTCTTAGATGTGAGCGGTTGTCGCGGCATGCCTGGCACGGTTCCGACTATGCCAGGGTTGCTCTCTGGGTGCATTTGCGTCAGCGTCTGGTAGACAGGACCAATCAAGTTAAAGTTTCCATTCTACGGTGCTGTTATATATGGTGATGTGATCATATTCAAGTATCATAACAGTATTTCATAAGGGCACGTGTTGCGTATGTATTGCCCTTTAGAACCAGACAGTCCTAAAATATCTATGCATAAGCACAAGTCGCTTCACTCAAGCGTAAGACAAATGTCTGTTTGAACTTGGGAAGTGACATTGAATCTCTTTTGAAGCGTAAAAGCTGTGGTGAGCTTCCCCTAGTACACGCAACTGCATTACAACAACATCAGCTGTGATTACAGTCTTTCCGTGGGACATGTAGCCATGTTGATGGATCAGTGGTATCGCAGCTTTTTCTCGGAAAAATCGATAACGATTGCCTGCGGTAACAAACCTTCAATAGACCGAGATTCCTCCACGAGGCAGCCGCAGCGTCACGTGACGCATCCCCCGTCCGGTCATCTGAGGACAACGCCCGGTGACCGTGCGGACGTTGAACTAGGGGCTTTTTATTACCAAACCAAGGACATTATACAATTGTCCTTGACCAAACCAAAAACTTCACGTAATTATGTTTACCGAAGGAAAAAATATTGTTTTTGCTCTGTCCCCTCTTCCGTTCCAAACACTGACCTGGTCGGTGACCTGAACCAGACCGTCTGTCACCATGGTAACTGGTGTTGGGTGTTGCAATTTTATAGTACATTTGTAGGAGGGATTTGGACTCCTATCACCATATATGTGAATGTGTTTGAGTAAGAATTTACAGAGCAGACCATATGCAAAGGTAAGCATTATGCATTTGCTTTGCAAATGTCACCTTTCTAGTGCTTGATTTCTTTAGCTCCGTGAGTCGACACGTGGGGATGCTGCGCCACCGGTACTTTAAGAAAACTAAAGCAAACGTGCTTGATGCACATTTATTTGATCATCTATTCATCTTCAATAATAAATGTGTATTCCCTTTATTCTATATTTGAATAATATAATGTTGATACTTCTGTATATTACCTACTTCGTATTTTAATTGTTAACAGCACTACAGATCTTTCGGTGGCCGCGACAGACGGCCAAGCAGTATTTAGTAGCCAGACAGTATCCATAGACACTCTCCTCTGGCCAATGGATACTGCCTTGCCACCGTATGATCTGCTTGGAGATTACTACAGCTTCGACTATGGCTGAGCAGTTCTATATATGAGAATGACAGTCTCTGCCACATAGGGCACATTTGTAAGTTGGCTCAGGTCTGTTCTTTTCTCAGTTTAAGCCTCTCTTCTGCGCAGTGCCACATGATACTTCTGTGCAGTAATTATAACCTTGTACAGCCCTGCTAGGCCATCGATCGGAGCTAAGAAGAGATTGGCTCCTCTATCCCGTGGCTTTACTATAGTCTCTACCCCCTCTACTAACTACGCTGGCTATATATAGGAGAATATTTGCTAGGGAAGTTTGGCCACCTTGGGGTTTGACTGGCCGCGCAGTTAGAGGTGGATCATTTAGCCCTCTCGCCGACTGACTCTCCTGGCCAACTATTTCCCCTTTTTTACCGAATTCTATAGGATCCGTACCCCCGTAGGAAGGTCTGTTGGAGGCTATGGCTTTACGCGCCGAGGTAATACACTTTTCTGAACACTCAGCCAGCATTAAGCTGAAGTGTCTGCCTCACAATTACCGGGCTCAGCTGTCGTCTGCTTCGTTCTAAAGGTCGTTGACCGACCTTGCAGAGCTTACGCGCCGCTGTGAGTGATTGGAATTCGGACAGGGTTAGTTGTGAGGACGTGATGTGTTGACTGGCAGTGCGCAGGGTGTCAGAGTCAGGCCGATGTCACGGATCAAAAACAACTGGATGTAACAGTGCATGTGTGTACTCTCCAAGCAGAGGTTTGGGTTTTGGCTTGTGCTTTTAACTTTTATAGGCTTTTTTATCTGGCTTTCTTTTTTGCACTGGTATCTTTTCTTTACGTTGCAGGGTTGACGTAAAAAATATACCAGTGCAAAAAAGAAAGCACGTCAAAAATAAGCCAAAACCCAAACCTCTGCTTGGAGAGTACATGTGTGCTGAACGCCCCCGCCCCTGTCAGTGTCGGATGCTTAATATAAGTCGAGATGACAAATCATGCAGTTTTTTCTTTCTTACGATGAGTATGTACGCTTGGTCGCAATTATGAACTGCAGTTAAGTGGAATTTTCGGCATGTAATATCTCTTGGGAACTTCAATTTTCCGTACTAGCTCGTACTCAAAATCTTCCGTAAATATTCCCTCAGCGTTGACAACTCAATTTTCTTCACATCAAGCTGTTCTCAGTTATCAATGTCAGATTCAATCCTCAGATCCATGTATTATCTCTCGTAACAGGTGAATGATGATGTGCCAAACCGTTTAATATCGACCGGGTGGACCGGGGCACACGTGTCGGCGGTGGGCGGGCGACCTTGTCCGATCCAGAGGTCGGCTCCCCAGGCTCCCCGGTATGTGAGGTTGTCTGGAAAACTACAAACTATGTCACTTCACAGGTCCGCAACTGGGGCAAACTCGCCACTGAGATAGAAGTCGGACCTAACGGTCGACCTTGTAGAAAGGAAATGGAGAAGCCGCCGGGGACTTTCGTGCCAATATCTGATGTTAATTCTGCCTCTATGGTGGCGCACGGAACGACGCCCCAGTTTTTGGAACATGGTTGACTGGGCATGTGCAGAACGGAACGGTTATCAATGGACAGGACGTCTACATCAGATATACTAGGAGAAAATGGCTTCAATGTGTAATAGCCTATGCCTATGCAGTCAATATAGGTCTGAAATGTAGCTCCTGGCACGTTGCCACTAAAGTTACAACTAAACTATATCTTTTTAGTTTAATCGTAAATTTCCCACAGGTGTGAGGTGAAAGCTTTCATACTCTCCAAGCAGAGGTTTGGGTTTTGGTTTATTTTTGGCGTGTTTTTAGGCTTTTTTATTGAGCTTTCATTGTTGCACTGGTTGGCGTAAAAAATACATATCCAGTGAAAAAAAGCCCAATAAAAAGCCTAAAAACACGCCAGAAATAAGCCAAAACCCAAACCTCTGCTTGGAGAGTAGTACTTTCATGTAATTAGAAAATATGGCACCTGTTATGATGCTTGTTCACTGTGATTAGCCTTAGGCACCCAAGAGAAGCTTTCTTGTGTTTTGAGCCCAACCCAAATGTCAAAGGTGGGTACTGTCAGTTGTGTATAGTCAACTTGTTTGCGCCAATTACTACGCCTACACAGACATGTCCTTGTGTGCACATTATGCTTGATGGGCGGTTGATCACAGATTTCCGGTGTAGTGAAGTTCGGCTGACATAAATTTAGTATGTCAGATTTTGAAATCTTGTTTTTGTTTTCTATATAAACACTTAACTTTACAGTAGAAGCGTGATAGTTCTATGTACGATGTACCCACCAACTAGCAATGTTTAGGGGTGTTTTACCGGTCTTTTTCTGACAGTCTATCTCTCCAGTTGACCTTTCTGACTATACTGTCGTCCCGAACCGAAGTGTCATTGAAACCAACATTGCAAAAGTTCACCGGAGTGCCCTAATCGGCCTGGGCGGGTGGGTAACACTCCCAGTACCGCAAAGATACCGGCGAGCAGACGATGGCATGGTTACACACAGACATCAAATATATACACACCAAAGAAATTAACGCCCCCGAATCATATACCGATAACAGCCTTGTGTTCGATGTGATTATAAATACTAGTACAATACTCGTACACATGATAGTCATACAGCCATCGCACATACGATACACACACCATTTGCCAGTGAATGGCCTTGAACAGAAATAAAACTGTAGCGAATTACTCCAAAACAACGGTATCTAAATATCACAATATCTAAAATATTACACTGAAATTTACCTTTCATAACTGAATTCACAGTCAAACATGTACTATTTGCACTATTATTCCCTATCGCCTCTAGATCTGTCTGTCAACATTTCTCGGAAGTACACATCACGCATATGCATATGCGGATCAATATGTCGACAGACCTTCATTCAAGCACGTTTGTCTGCAGGCGTGTTTTTTTCCAGTCGATTGAACACCACGAATGCCCTGGCCGTGTTAAAAAAATTAAGAGAGTAAAAACTGAGTATTTACCGGCTGGTGCCGTGGACAGGACGTCTTGAACTACCAGATAGAGATCGGCAGGTGCAGACCAAGGTGAAACGTCTCCGGTAAACACTAACTCAAGAATGAAAGGTCAACGGTCAGAGTTCAAGGCACGAACAAACATGACACTCTGTTGACATTGTCCACGCCCATCTCAGTCAACCAACTAACACGTTTGCGCTGCAAATACTTTATCAAAATCCTCAGTCTATGAAGCAAAGTACCATTATAGCAAGACTATAGTTTTTAATGTGCCAAATTCAATGCGTTTTGATCACAATGTTTGGAGAATAAGCATATATCTGGGGAACAATCATATCATAACTCTCACATATGCATGATGCGTGTCGCTATCGGCTATCTTATAACTATCTGTATCGTTAATACACGTACTTCGCGATAGTACATGTTTCTTTATATTGTCATACTGCCCCGTATGACTGTACAAAAGTCTGGCAAATTGGTTTTCGAAACTGAACGCCCCACGGGTGTTTCCATTCCAGGCGCCAGTCCGTGTAGGCGTAGTAGATAAATGTGAAGGCCGTCCGCATATGTTATCGTCGTACTTGACATTGGTAAGCTTTCACATTTGAATACGATAGCACGATAGCGTTCAGAGCACGTACAACCTTCCTAGCCTCTACCAGGCTTCGGGAGACGGCTGGAAAGAATAGAAATCAAATAGAGAGATAACATATAGAGAGGGAGTTGATCCGCTTGAGAGTACATTTTACTAACATTTTGCCGCTCCCTCGGCATGTTATTTATCTCTCTATTTGACCGATTTCTACTCTTTCCTACAGGGAGGCTGCCTTCACTGTGCAGCTAATATCCTCTAATATGTCTGTGAACCACGAGAATTTAATAGATTATTAGCGAAGAAACAAGGTTTAGCGCCCCCGTATCTTATAAAGGTATTGAAACCACAGTGCAATTTCAGGATATTAACACCGAGAATTTATATTGTCAGGATCAGTTCTCAGATTACAACGTTGTCATCCGGGAATAAATTAAAAATAAATTGGATGGGCGTAGACAGTAATGAATCCGTCTCAAGGATAAATCAAAAGGGGCGATTCGTTTACAATCAAAGGAGATGGGGATATTGGGCCGAGCATTAAAACAAATCACCGAACGGTTTTTTTTTAAAAAAATGACTGTTAACAGAAATGTTGAACAATAGGTAAAATAATTTTCCTAAATGTCTCTAAATGGATAACATTTGTTTAAAGAATAGTTACGCAAACTCCTCAAATACTCCAAACATACCCCCACCCATAATCTAAACGCTATACGCAGGCACTGACACTATATAGTGCAGGGAACAGTAGTGCCATAATGTTTGGGTCATGCCCCCCATCTGTACCTACCTTAATGCCGCCGCCGCCTGAACGGTCTCCTGTGATCAACACTCTTATCTCAGGTCCAGAGGTCTTCTTCAGCACGACTTATGACATGTGGATGTACACAGAGACCCGGGATTTCCCCCCGTGCGTGGTGAATCTACTAGTATATCTCTTGTGGCTTCGCCATGTGCCGCCTCTGGCTCTGTCCGACAGTGAACCCTTTTCTGTGTCAATGTACGGTGAAACGAAGGTCGCGGGCTGGGAAGCTGGGCCAGGCAGATAGCGAGATCTGGGGTATACATCAGACCTTATATCTGCACTCAATAAGGAATAGACGCATTTGGATCAAGTGATATAAAGGTGGGCGACTTGCGTCGAAAATCAACGGTGTTTATCCCATTTTCATGAAAAGGAATTACAAGAGCTTCCGCGTTCTCTCAACCCTACCCCCCGGAATTTCCATTAATACCTGTATTTTCCAAGGATATCTCAAACACCCATTACACTAGAACATTATGTTATATACTTCCTTCCCAGTGGCAATTTTGGAACATCCCTGACGTGACGCGCAGGATATATTACTTACAGTACGTCGGTCACGATAAATTCATAGCAAACCGTTCAAGCGTATGGGATATAATTGTAGGGTATATACTTGGATCTATGTGGCAAAGTGGAAAGTGTGCCGTTGTTTCGTTTTGTGTTATTCATTCCTTTCTTTCAGTAGTAGGGACAGAGCCATCTCGGTTACGATTGTCACTACATTTATTTTTTGGGGATACACAAGACCTGCAACGATAACCTCTGCTGTTTTTTTTAAAATCAATACCACTTCTGCAGTCAGATGTACCTAGCTCTATTTAACCCTCTAAAGCGGCTCACACTAAGATCCGTCTAGCACCAACTGCAAATAGTGTTGTGCTCTAGTTACCATTAAAAGAAAACAGCTTGGCAAGAAAAGGCACCTAGATTTTGTAACGCCACTCATCCTACTGCATCGGTACTGCAGTACGTACATGAAAATCCATTTCATTTCATACAATTCCTTAAGAGACATTTATATATACATATATTCCTTATAATGTTATATAGTACATTTAAATACTCGCACATATCCACATGATCTATATCTATAGAGTTTAAGTACGAAAATATCATCAAATGTGACTTCGATGTTGACATTGATATTTTACAGTTGATAAAACGCAAGCAACTGCAATAAGTCATGTAGAGTTATCACTTAGTGTCAACTGTAAAAGATGTTTTTACACAAAGTGCGGCAGTGGCTTCAAGGATGACTTTTCGGTGCGCTGGATTTCTCACTCCCATGGTCCTTAGCGCGCGATCGTCCATACGAGCCAACATGGCGCCGTCAACCCCCTTCTGTCTGAAAGTTTCCGTGTGTTCGTCAAGTCTCAAGGACTGCAGGAACTCTTCAACGTCTTCCACCGTCATATGCTGTACCTCGGAATCTTCGTTTTCTGTTGAGATATCACAAAATTACATTTCATGAAGCAAACCATCTATTATACTGTTGTAAAAGTAAGTAGGATATCATCAGATTCAAAAACATGAAATGCAGATATGCCATTTTGGCTCAAAATTAACTGAAAAGGGATGATTTACTCACCTATGGTGTTAGGGGTCATATTAATAATGCAGTTACTTCCAGTCTGAATAACCGTGTTGCAGAAGCCTTTAACGTCAGCGCTGTTCACGGTAGAGCCAGCAGCTTGTCCCATCGTCGGTTGCGCATTGGTGTCGGCTGTAGAAATTAGGTCAAGGTTTTATTTACTTAAATAACGCGAAAAGTGTTGTATTACAAGACAGAAAGGGAACATGTATAGTATAAAATGTGGTTTAAAAAGGGAATCCTAACATAGGATCGGTGTCTACCAGGAGTGGGGTTCGAACCCACGAAGACATACGTCCATTGGAACTTAAGTCCAACGCCTTAACCACTCGGCCATCCTGGTAAGCGTAAAGACGACATCGCCTGTAACGCACTACTAGGATTTTTCGAGAAATCAATTAATTTTACGAGGTTTCGGGTAAATTTATCAAATTTCGAGACATAATTAAGTCTTTATGGTGTTGTTTTAATTACATTCTGATGATTATTTTCAGAAATCTGACACTTTGTTGAAAAGAGGGCGCTAGCAACCTAGTTGGATCAAAAGTGTCGACAGTCCTTGCCTTCTGGCCACACAGGTGATTACTAAATATGTTGTCTTGCTCTTAATGCATACAGTGCATCCAGGTACTGTATTCCTGTGATTTCTTTAGATTCTGCAGTGCACTATGAGACGTTTTTAAACTTAAATACAGAAAACAAACACTATTGTACAGCTGACAGAAGTTATGCCTTGCCTTCAGTCGCTGCTCTCAGAGGAGAGACTAAACACGTTCTGAAGAAGGCGGTTCCTCCGGATCCCGGGCACACCATTCTGTCTTCTTCAGGGGCCGGCTGTTGTAAGATCTGGCCGGGAAAACGGTACCTACGGAACAAACCGTGATGTTTTGTGTCAAGGTCATTTCAACGCCAACGAATGTTTAGATATTGAAAATACTACCATATAGGGCAATAACACTTCATCCGCGTATTATTTCATTGTGGTTAAATCAAACACGTTATTTTCCAGATGTTGGGATGGGTGTTAAGTGATTTTGATAAAGCAGTCGTAGTTTGACAACAAAAGAGGTGTGAACGCACCTGTCACCAACAGCGTTGTTCTTGCTGCAGTGGGGACACGTGACAAATGCCGAATGGGTCAGCCCTGGCCACTCGTTCAGGAGGTTGTCCAGCTCGCCTTGAAGCGGAAGTATGACCTTCCACATCCGGTTGACGTCGGTGGTGTCCGCCCTTGTCGTCATGATGACGTCAATCTCGTCATTGGGGTTGATGACGTCAAACCGTGAGGAAAACTGTGTCGTGGGGGCGCTCTCGTGCCCAGAGTCCCCTGTGCGACGCAGGGTTCTCTGGACCATGACCTGGAGGTCGCCTTTGCAGGCCATGACGCCATCTTTCCAGTCCTGTCTGAAGGTCACGTGCGGATGGATTCGGACGCAAAGACGTTCAAACAGTCCCGGTGGGCAGAACCCCTTCAGAGTGTGGCCTAGTTCGATTTGATCCTGGTGCTCTGGTATTTGTGCGGGCCACACTTTGCTGTATGTCTGCGGAGGGTTATTCTGTAGATAGGAAGGGAACCGGTATTGTTGGCCCCTACATGTACCAAAGATGGCGTCTGTGGACGGACTGGTCGGTACAGGGTAGCAAAGACCGAACTCCAGGAGCAGGTCCATCACGAGGTCAGACTGAAGCATCATGGGACTGTCGGTGAGGAGCATGTGGATGACGTCACGTGACAGGAGGCCATTTTGAAGCAGGGACGTTTTGACTCTGTCCAGCTCCATGCTGACCATGTCTTCAAACCGCGGGTTGTCGACGCTGAACACCGAATCCGTGTCGTAGTGGAATAGACCCTTGAAGATCTCCACAATAGAAACCGGATCTGGGAACACGTGATCACGGAGAGCCTCGTTTTCGCTGTAGTGGAGGATGACGCCCTTCCGGTGTAGGTATCCTACCGCGGTTTCTATGCTTTTCTCCGAGGTGAGACCAACCTCCGATGCAAGCATGCGACACGCTGACCATGAAACTGACAGGCTCTCGTCTTTTCTCAGACTTTCGAGTCTTGTCTCCAGGTCAGCCCACGTCTTCGGCAGTACGCGGCGTAAGTCTGGGAAGGCGGACGTGTCTTCCAGAACCCGTAAGATTTCAGCTCGCAGTGCTTCGACTCCCTCAAGACCCTCTGCCGAACTGAGCGGGAAAACTTGGGAGAACTTCAGCGGTTTGGACTTTAAGTCCTCTAGTTCGGTCAGACGTTTGGCATAGCCGTTTTGGCTGGAATCTGAACTTTCTTCTCGGGCGGATTGAAGCTCTTTCTTGATCTTTCTCATCTGTCGGTCAAGATCCTTCACGTAATTCTGTTGCATTAGGTCGATTTGGTTTTCGATGTCTTCACATTTCATCCGCATTTCTTCTGCGTCTCTTATCTGGTCCACGTGTGTTCCCGCCAAAAGGACGTGTGTCCCAGGAACCCTTGCGCGGAGTATGTCCACCCACTTGCCGACAGACGCAGGGAAGGACTCTCTTCTGTAGCTGGCGAGGTCCACCGTGAGGATGTGGAGACTGCCCTTGGTGAGGAATAACTGGTGGGTCATGTGATAGACAGGATGTCCTCCAAAGTCGTACACTAGCAATTTCACATCGCCTCCTGTCGACCACGGTGTGATCTGCACCCCGTGTGTGCGGTCCTCTTCCTTGGTAAGTGCCGACACTTGCTGAATCAAGGCGTTGCTGAGGCTAGTTTTCCCCGAAAGAGGTGTCCCGACCAGGGTCAGCTTAACCTGCGGTACCACAGTCGCTGTTGACCGCCCAAGTTCCTCTTGGTACGCGGCAATGGATTCAATGCCTCCCGCGCAAACTTCAAGCGGAGGCTGACATAGGGGGTTGTTCTTGAGTCGGAGATCACCATGTTTCCTGATGTTGACGAGGCTCCCAAACCCCATTGGCAGCGCGGTGATTCGGTTATCTTGCAGATGGAGAACGGTCAATGACGTCATTCTACAAATCGATTCCGGAAGTGACGTCAGGTCATTCTTATCCAGGTAAAAGTTCTCGAGTTTGTTCAACTTGTGGATGTCCTCTGGTATCTTCTTTAAACTATTTCCACTGAAATTGAGAATCTTGAGGTTGACGAGGCAGAGAACTTGCTCTGGGAAATCTTCGAAACGATTGTTACCGAACCATAGATCGGCTAAGTTCGTCAGCTTGCCGAAGTCACGAGGGAGAGACGAAAGCCCGTTATCTCCAAGGTAGAACATTTCCAGTTGGCGTAAGTTGCAAAAAGTGTCTGGAAGGTTTTGCAGCTTGTTTTTGTACAGCCGGAGCATTTTCAATTTTTGTAATACATCGATGTTTTCTGGGACTTCCAATAGCTCGTTGCACCCGATATCTAGCTCCTCTAACTCTATGAGATCCAAAAGCTGCTCGGGGAAGTTGTGAACTTATTGTCCCATAACTTAACATTCACCAAACCTGTCAGTTTACGAAAGTCGTCCGGCAGGAAAGACAGCTGGTTTTGCCTCATGTTTAGTTCTCTCAGGTCTTTGCCAGCCCTCAGAACGTGAGAAGGGATCTTGGAAAGGCCCTTCCTCTGAAGTTCTATCTGCCGAGCCATTGTGGGCGTTCTTCTCGATTTGATGTCTTGTTTGATGTCTTATTCAAACAGAAAACCAGCAAAACCTATATCAACGATAACGCATTGGTATCTGTGCTTGTGGATTGTAGATCTGTTGTCAACAGCTGCTCTGTCAGATTAGTTTCAGTTCTTTTACTAGCCATATGGACTATGTCATAGTTACTGTACTAGTTCCGCTTAATTCTCTGATGCATACTAGCGCGGTTGTTTTGTTCCGCCAGGCGTCTCTTTTTCATGGTACTGCAGCTGGCGCCGGTCCATGCAGATACTTGGCAGATACCCAACTGTACATATCGTCTTTCATGTCACGTTCAGGCATACCTCTGGAAAGAAAACAGACTTCATGAGAATAAAAGATCTGCTCTAGGGTTTCACATTCCACAGTAGTGCGTCACAACAGGCGTATGACGACTCATAAAATGTGTAATCGCCATGGCACGTCTTGACAACGGGATATGTTTATTTATAGCGAACAACATCTGTCTCTTAGCACCAAACAGTAGTTACAGACGTGCTTTCCCTTTAATCTATCCCTGTCTAAAATTAAAGCCGTGACTTCAGTCCGTAACTCTAGGACGAGATTGGCACACATGGGCTTACTGAGAAACTCACTGATAACATGTTCGATTCTATTTGCAGAGCCCGCCTTTGGTTATACAGGCGTGTTTGGGTTTAAATGTATCAACAATGACTCGCTGCACATGTCGGAATGACCCAAATAATTCGATCATGCAAATAAACTGCACAATGTACGACCCAGACGATGTGTACCTGCTTCATGGATCGCAAGACCAGCCAATGGTTACATTTAGATAGATAATATGGCGTTTTACTGTGATTGACTAGATTCAGTGCAGATCTCTATATCTCACCCACAAAACCGGAACTGATGGAAAGCATTTAAAAATGGAGGCCAGCGGTGGTTTGGTTGTGATGATTCATGTTTTAAATGCCTGCACAGTTTCGATGATACCAAAAGAAGCTTAGTAGAAGATCGTACCTTTGTCTGCCTCTTGTGCGTCTCAAGGTTCTAGTATTCATCCTATATATTTTACCCGACCATCCCTACATTGCGCTGGAAGTCCATTTTTCTCTTGGATCCCAAACGGACGGTACCGTCAGGCGTCAGAGCATAATTTGCAATTTGCAGAGACAGCGGTGCCGCTACACAGACCTGTCATGCCTCATATGACGTCACGGGAATCCCCACTCGAAAGGCCAAGGGTCAATGGACGACACTATGTGCTGAAAGGGGGGTCGCCGGCCTTTTTAACAGGGAATATTCCAATGTATAGAAAAATTGTTGCCACCCAAACTGATGTTTACATTGTGTGTAGGTTTGTTATTGCATTAGAACGTCGAAATTGACTACAATAATGAACTATCCTGATCTTAGAAACATCTGGTGCTTCTGGAACCCCTGATAAATGTGTATCGTACCAGTGGAATGGTTGGTTTTTGAATGGTGAATTACAAATGCCACGCACTAAATTTCATCAGACACATTGCAGTTGTTCTTAGCTCCAACAGAGGTCGTTCGTGATCTTTGTAGTATATGTACTTGTAATTGCTTCCCTTCCGAGTATAAGCTTCATTTTGTCTTGAATATAATACTCACCAATTCAACCTCAGTCCATGTTGGTAAAATTGATTTTTGTTAGTTTCGAAGCTAGGAAAAACAAGTGCAAAGAAATGGAAGTATTGCAATTGGTTTATAGATTTATTCATCATCAAAATGATATTCACAACCATGATGGCAATATTGCCTTTGAATTTATCATTTCAAAATTATAGCCTGGTAATTACTGAATAACTTAGATACCAACAAATAAAGCGATGTGATATGTCCAGCTAGGTGATAATGATGTATACGGATATAAGTTTGCGTATTGGATATATGTAACAGTTCCATTAAGTGCTTTTCCGTATGATTACTAAATGTATAACCTTGTAACTACAAACTGCTTCTACGTTCCTTTACCAAGCCGCACTAATATATCACACCGACTGCCTACACTTACACCATTGTGTGATGTCTATAGATTTCTACCTATACAAGGCCTGAAGTACAACATACAAAACAGTAAGGCTTCGCACCAGAACGGTCTAATCGTCGTGCCACCTGACCGAACATTGTTTGAGTCATTGAGTTGTGAAGGTCTTGTTATATTGCTTTATACATGCACAATTTCTTTTAAAAGACGCCTGCTGCTTTCGTACAAATAGTGATTATGCTGACTGTACATTACCATTGGTTTAAACATCATGTTGTGGTGATGTTTTGATCTTTTATTACGTTTTCATAAGACATTACTAGTATTTCTGTACATTATTTTAAGGTGCATTGTGTTGTATTAACTCATGTTCTTCTACTTTTTTTACACACTACGTACGTGCTGTACAGCTATTGGCGATTTAACATTGTGGGGGCAAGATACTAATGGCTACCATTGTGTTCACATTGTACAAAATTAATGCTCTTTAAAATCGATACATTCTTTTTTTCTAGTTTGGTCATTTGGGTACTCCCGTAGCACGGCGATTAGCAAAGTCTGGTACGTTATATTTCTGTATTGGATAATGAGTTATCTATCCATGTAGTTCCCACAGTTTCAGTACTTGTATATTTTGATCGCACAGTCGGACACGTCGGTGACCACGACTCTGCCCTCGGGAGTCATGGCGACTCCGTACGGGGACAGCAGCCCGTCCGACGCCGTGGCGATGTGCCGAAGGAACGACCCGTCGGGCCGGAACAGGTCCACCCGCCCGTTGTGGATGTCCGCCACGATGATGTTGTCCTGCGGGTCCACGCACAGCCCCGCCGGCATGCCGTGCTTCCCCCGGTCCGCGTCCGCCCCCACCTCGCCGCCGAACTTGAACAGGAACAGCCCCTCGGAATCAAACACCTGTTACAAGGAAATTTAAAAAAAGAAATAGACACCAGTTGTCTAAATAATTAAGGCAACGTCGGCGTTAGAAGGTTCTTTTACTTTGAAACATGTAGCCGCATTGTTCAATGTTTGTCTAAAGATGAGTCTCATTGTCATGATGTTGAGTATCTGATTAATCACTGTCAGAAGATATGCGGGTACATTGAGCCATCGCGACCTTCACATCACAATATCCATCTATCACAATATCACTTAATCGTTTCAAAAACAAAGGGCTGTGTATAGAATTACTGCAGACTGCAGAGAAATGGCATTGAACTTTTCCAACCAACGACCCAACCTTTAATAGTATTGCAAGTTTTCCACACTGTCACTGAGAACAAAATGAGATAAACGCTGACGAAAAACGTGGACAAACCCACACAAAGAACCCTCCATACCAGATGTGCAATAAACTAGAAAGGTAACATTTGCAAAGCAAATAATATTTATCTTCGCATATAGTCCAGCTGCCTTGTTAATTCCTACTCAAACACATTCATGGTGACAGGAGTCTAAATGCCTCCTGCTATAAAATTGCAACATAATGTAACCCAACACTAGTAACTATGATAGCAGCCCGCTGGTTCAGGTCATTGACCTTTTGTGTTTGGAGAAGAGGAAACTGAGCAAAAACAAGATGTTTTCCTTTAATTCGTTAAACATAATAATCGACTCGTTCGGTACAAGGACAGGTTTACCTTCACACAGTGGTTCTTGTAGTCCGACACGATGATGTCCGAGTGCGAATTCACGGCCACGAATATCGGCCTGTTGAAGTTGGAATCGTCGTCTCCTGGCGACCCGAAGTGGTGAAGCAGCTCACCGTCGGAGGAGTGAATGGTGATCCGGTTCTTACCTGCGGAATTTTATTTTGGTCGTAAAAACATGATATGGAAATAAGCTACACAGGGTCGTTGACATAGGTTGTAACGAAGCGGTATAAAATTAAATTTCTGAAGCATCCAAAGACATTTGCCGATGTATGCGTAGGAGCCAAACATGCAAAAGAACAAGTAACAAAATGATAACTTGAGTATTATTGAAAAGAAAATTTTTATGAAAGATATGATGACGGTACCTGCATCTGTCACCAACACGTGATCAGTGCGTGCGTCGTACGCAATGCCTGATGGGATGTCTAAGACGTCATTTCCGAATTTGCTGATGACCTCTCCCTGAAAGACAGGTTTGGTTTCTGATCAACATTCTTCTACCGATAATTCATATAATAAGCTTCTCTTTCAGATACTTTTTATCCTCCTTCTATCAAGACGTTACAATGTGTTTAGGATAAATACATTTTCTCCTATTTCTGTGCCCTTTTCACTCAATGCGTTTGCATTTCTAAAAATAGCTTCTTTATGGCGCACCTTTTATCTAGATTGTCCGTGCCTAAAATAGATTTCCCATTTCAAGTTATTGCCATAATCAGGTCAATCTATTTAGACACCACAATGGTTACAAAGGCTTAGCATAGTAGAGTTAGACTAGCACGAGTACCGTCGGTAAAAATAGATTTCCCATTTGAAGTTATTGTATAATAAAGATGAATGAGGTCTAGCTATTAACACGCAACAACGGTTGCAGAAGATTAGTATAGCGCGGTTAGATTAGCCTTGGTTCCATTTCAAGTTATTCTGTGGTAAAGATGAATGAGTTGAAACTATCAACATGTCGCAATGGTTACAGAAGATAAGCATAGGTCAGAAGCAGGCGTACCTTAGGGTCAAACTTCTTGACACACTTGTTGGCCACGTCTGTGATGTAGATGTTCCCGTCAGGCGTCACGGCCACGTCCACAGGCTTCAGGAACTTGTCTCCTTCCTCCTTCTCCGACTTCCACTTAAACGTTCCTTTACTGTCAAACATCTGCAGTAAATTCGACACGTTTCAGGATCGTGTTATTCAATGAGTTTAATGATTTTCAACATGTACACATTAATCAAGCTCCTAATTGACATTGATCTTTTAATGTATATCAAGATCCCAACAAAACAGAGTATAGGAGAAGAAAATATCAGGAAAATATCGCCGGATGACATTGTTATGTCTGTTATCAATATGATCATATTCAGCAGTGAATGTGTTCACAATTGCAAAAGTCACAATCATATCATGAATGAGTTTACGTCAGCGTTGCATGCACAACGTATACATTAGCAGCCTTCGTTGGCTGATTTCGTATGATTTACACAATAAAATAATAAAACAAGCAATAAATTAAAGATACATACATACATACACAAATGTAATAATACAAATCAACGACAAGAAAACGCACGAAGACCTGACCTGTAACCGTTTGTTGCCGTTGTCTGCCACCAGGATCTCCCCCTGACTGTTCGTCACCACCCGGAAGGGAGAGTCGAACTCCCCGTCCTTGGTGCCCTTGGCTCCGAACTGGAACACGGGCTCTGTGATCAGCACGCCCAGCCGGAAATTCTGCAGAACATCGTACTCTGATTAACCAGCAGTGTAATACAATAAATTGGCTTATTGATACATAGTAGCACATACTCAAACCACATTGCTGGCCGAATTGCGTGATCGTGGGACAGATACAAACAACACAGAAATACTTGTACAACTAACAGACACAAAGCATCTTCCTGGACAATTGAAAGAACACAAAAGGCTTAAAGTAACACCATACCACCGCTGCCACCAGTGTTGTCATAGAGAACACCACAGTATACCCTGTATAGAAGTATGCTTTAAGAAGCTTTCTATGCTCCCTTCATTGCCCTTTATACCTATTATACCAGATTTAATGTGAAGGTTGTCACAAGCTGACTTCTGGTATCCCTCCCCGTCGTATAATATCCAGTCCTTCACAGTTCAGATGTGATAAACATAGAAGGGTGCTTTTGCCTTTGCACGGAAGTGTAGTTTGTTACGTACACTTTCATCCTGTTTCTACAAGCCTGTAGCACAATTCCATCCAAATTTCTTTATCATGTCAAGGTATAAAGCAAAGGTATAAAGCGAAAATCGTCTAACCTACTTTTATTTGCTGTATGCAGAAAAAAGAAATTAATAGCGAATGACATTTCGTAGCGTGACGGGTGATGATACTTGATTTGTCAGTCACACAATTGAGAGAGACCTTGAAGCTGAACGTGTACACTCCTGAAATATTCATGTGCGTCTTCTCCACTTGGTGTTAATGAATTGGAACACCTGTCTTCGTGATTGTCTTCAGTCCATCAATCTTACTGACAGTTAGGGCAATGTCCTATAGGCCCTGGTGTAAACTGTACCAAGGATAAATGCCAACTGAAGGTGTTTGCGTGTGAACGACCTCTCCGAGGCTCTCTTTTTAGAATGAAGGATCATGGGGCTTTTCTACAGTCTGAGAAAAAAAGTGTTGATGACACGTAGACAGACAGACAGACAGATAGACACACACACACACACACACACACACACACACACACACACACACACAAACACATGCAAACAAACAAACACACACACACAAACACACGCACGCACGCACGCATCCAGACACAGACACACACAGACACACAGACACACAGACACACAGGCACGCACACACACACACATACACACAGAGAGGGGGGGGTAGACAGACAGACAGACAGATAGACACACACACACACACACACACACACACACACACACAAACACATGCAAACAAACACACACACACACACAAACACACGCACGCATCCAGACACAGACACACACAGACACACAGACACACACACACACACAGGCACGCACACACACACATACACACAGAGGAGGGGGGGGGGTAATGCAACAATTCTAATTCGGAAGGTATGGATTAGAAACAGTAAGCTAAGTTGGCGTGTTGTATCGGTATCCACCCCGTACCTCATGTAGATGTTCTGCGGAGAACTTGACACACATGTTGACATCCGGGCCCTGTGTCGGCAGCAGGTCCCCGGCCTCTGAGATGGAGTTCTCCAGGATGGACCACTGGGACAACTTCTCAACGTCAGAGTCTTTCTCCAGGGCCTCGTCAGCAGCCTACAGGGGGACATAGTTTGGTGAATGTTAGCTAGTAGCGTGCGTAGTCCAGTGGTTAGCGACCCAGTCTCTGGATCAAGAGGTTGGCAGTTCGAATCCCGGCTGTTGTCAATAACCCGACATGCACGCTACGGTAGAGTAGGGGACGTTAAGCGGCGTTTTAATGTTCATTTTGCTTGTTGAAAAGAGCTTTCCCTTCCTTTCCTTTCCTCTCTTTTCCTTAGGTATATTGAGCACGCCTTGAATAAGTGTGCCATTGTCGTGGACGCATGCATATGGCCATAACCACAGTCGTAGTCAGTCAGAAACATAATTATGCTAAATATCTTTTTAACTTGTTATTGCCTTTTCTCCAGAAGCGAGGAGAAGTCGAATTTATTCAACGGACTAGCGCTCGTGCTAGCTTGATCATGTCTATGTATATATACATATGTATACATATATACAAGCTATTCCTTTACTATACTTCATTCATTCCATCAACACACAACGATTATTTTCTTTCATTTACGAAAAGAGTTGCGTGCGTGCCGTGCAACGTGACAGACACACATGGTTCAGCCAAGTTTAAACCTCCTTTGTCCAACACAGCCTTAGCTTGGATCATCAACATAAAGGACTATACACGTGTTCTATCTTTGGCACAACGTGCGTCAAACATACACGTGCCAAACTGTGGTACACGTGCCATAAACATATCCGCGGCTCTGGTTTTTATCTGACGTAAAAGGTACTCAGTCGGCATGTTCTCAGCACGCGCACATGTCTGGGAACGTGCCCAACATCGATGACGTTACCTTAAAGGCATTTCAGGGCAGCACGACTGGAAATATTCTGAATAAGGCAATCGTTATGATATTGACACATACTGCTTCACATTAGCACATTTGAGTCAGTATTTCATATACTGGGTATTCAAAACTGCAGAAACAAGCCCCAAGATGAGTCCTTTATTTTCTGGGTGGTACCCTAAAAATCAGCCAAGGGCCATTCCAGTAACCTTTTTCCGTCAGAATTTTCGGAATTTTTGCTCCACGAGGGATATACATGGGGATAGTGTGATTTTAACTCAGTATGTAGATAAATGACTATAAAATTGACTTTGCAAAATCGGGTTTCCGAGCCCTAAAAACTGTACTGAGTGCCTTTAAGCTTCTAGGGAATCCCGTCTTCAAGGACAGACTAGATATATGTGTGTATCTTGTCCCAGAGGAGACACAAATCATCCTAACGTAACATGATATTTACCAGGTTCCCTTTTCTCTAAGAAAATTGCCACTGTCCAGTCTCTGTCTGATTATGTGGTTAAAAACACGGCATAATAAATTCCCGTTACCCCTGTATTCTCGTTCCCCATGGGAGGTGTGAGTTAGTGTACCGTCTGTGTGCTGTCACTGAAATATCCACATTCATTTATCAGTACATGTATTATTTCGCTTCTTCAACTGGAAGTAAATGCATTGTCAATAGTCTTTTATGCTCCTTGAATATGTAAGGGCAAGAAGCCTGTTGATATATATAGCTGGATCGATTCTCCTCCTATATATTCTGTTCACTGTAAGAACCGGCCAATTTGAAATAGAGCCTTCTGATTGGTCGACATCTTCTGGCTATATGATAATGATCTTTACAGTTTACTGCTCGACAGTTGTACGGGATATCTGTTTCTGTATCTGTATAGCCGGTATAACCGCCTATCGGCGTAACACACCAGCAGGGTACGCAATGTATAGAAAAACTAATGAATCCCGCTGACCTGTACGCACTCCTCCAGTTTGTGCAGCCCTGCCTGCATCTCTCCCCGCTGGGTGGCCAGGGAGTCCTTCCTCTCGGTGTAGATCTCCTCCAGCGCCGAGACCATCTCCTCCTCGCTCTGCTGGATGGCCTCGATCAACATCTCCGCGTGCTGGTGGATCTCTTCTTTTGCTGTTTCTCTGCAACGAAACAGAACGGCATTGGAGTTTTGAAAAAGGCTTTGAGATGTGTAATCTTTATTCAAACAACTCACAGACAATATTCGCAGTCTGAATTATGTTGTTCTGACAATTCAATGGTCTGTAGACCTATTGTACACTTAAAATTACAAGTAATCGGAATTGTCTAAAATGGGCAACGTTGAAAAAATAAACATACTAAACAATTACACCACATCATACATAACATAATGCTAAACGATACCTTTCTGAGGTCATTTAATGGGCAATAAAATCGTTTAGACGTTCCCCTAAATAAGATATAGATAAATAGATAAATCAAATACCCAAGCATCCAAATTTCTATCTCCAAATTACTACAATGGAACGAAAATGACAAGCACTTTTAATCTAAAGCAACTTGAGAGATATCCATTACAGATGATCTCTCATGCGAGCGATCTATTTTCAGCACCAAGGACAGATGCGATGGCAGAAAGCGTTCCCTAATACCGCATTCAGATGAATTTTCAGATGAATTATCATGTGTACATAAAACAGGATTCCGCTCTGATTAATTATTTTTAGTATCCATTTTGCGCTCGATGTTCCGAGTCATCTTTAGTTGTAAGCAGTAGGTGCTGTGGTCTACTTACTTGTTCTGCTTGAGTTCGTTCTCCATGGCCACCAATAGGCTGACGGCTTGCTGCAGAGGCTTGGCTCGCTCCCGACATTCCCCTACCCGCTCTCTGATTCGCTCACAGTACTTACTGGCCGCGTCCTGGGGTCAAACATGCCAATCACATGGACGTTAAAACGAGATAGAAATGATCTTTATAATACTTCAATGAAGTGACTTGGTGAGCAATGCGTAAGGAAAACAGTTTCAGGGGCGTAGCACAGTTTATGAAATGGAGATTTTATCATGAATAGTCCATTTTCCATATATCTTCCGAAATTAGCAAAAAAATGAAAGTGTGTACTCTTGCGCGACTATGAAAGAAAATGATACAGCTTGTGCGAACCTTAAGTTTGGAGACAGTGTGGCCGTTGTGTTCCATGACGAAACAGTCGCCACAAATCGGCAACTCACATTTGTCGCAAAAATACTTGATGACTTCTCCCTCATGAGTCCCACAGGTCACCTCCTGAGAAAGATAATATCATGGCAGCCCACATTATAGATATCAGTATGCATAGTAAAAAAATGTACTAATTCTTAACATCAATATCCCCAACGATCAAGAGGGTGAGTGTAACGTGCACAAGCATATCCAGAGGCTTACGGAATTAGAATACAGGTACACGTGTGCTCCCAATATCCCCCAATGTCCCCCAGTAAGAAACTTTTGGTAATGAAGTAGAACTCCACGATTGCCACAAAGGGGATACAGTCTGAAGGCACAAACTGTAAGAAAGGGCTTTGTAGAAGTATTATTAGTATATCTTTCCACTGTGAAAATACTTCAGATGCTGATCCACGTACCTTTTTCTCTTTCCTGGGCGGGACGGGTGACCTGGGCCGCGGGGCGTTCCTGGTGCGCTCCCGCTCGGCGTGCAGGAGCTGACACAGGTTGGACACGAAGAAGTTATCCCTCAGGCCCTTCACGCCGTTCTTAGGCAGCGGCGTCTCCTCCCGACACATCGGGCACGTCAGCTTACCTTTCGGACTCTTCGTCGTCTTACTGGCTGTTAACCTGAGGAAAAAATTATGTTTTTCATCGACAAAATAGCAACAACAAACTATGGCGCACTGAAGGTATAGGACGATCTAAACACAGGTGGTTTTACCTCTTTTTGATTACTAGTATCTTTTTTTCATCATTGTGATGACCGTGTGCAAGAAAGAATACAGTATAAAGGAGTGTATGGTACAGCCATCTGCTGAGTATGGAATATATAGTCTTCTATGCCAAACATAATAATTAATCATTAAAGGATACTTTGGAAAGGGCTGTCTAAGCCTACTTTTGTATTGACACAGCTCATAAACTCACGGTGGTGTCGTGTGAATTCGAACGGCAGAGCGTTCGGCTCGGAACCATGAGGTCCCAAGTTCGAATCCTGCCATGCCACCGACCTTGTGCCCTTGGGTAAGGCACGTTACACGAATTTTCTCACTTGACTCCTGTGAAAATGAGTATGCCTGTTGCCCGTGCATTTGCTTTAAATTTGTCTGTGTTGGTGGTGGCATAAAAATAAGTTGGAAAAACTTGACGTCTTAGAAATAGAAAACGGAATAGAAAACTAAAATAAAAAAAAGAAAAGAAAAGAAAAACTCACGGCCAAGACATTGCTCTACGTTTCCGCATTCACTAGTTTCTCTCACCTGGCCAGACAGTCCATACAGAAGGTGTGGAGACAGGGCAGCACCTTGGGCCGGTTGTACGTCTCAAAGCAGATGTTACAGACGATCATCTCGTCACTGATCTTGTTGAGGACGGTGGAGGTGCCGGTGGGTGAGGGGGCCGTCAGGGACGCCATCTTGGATTCCTGAGGAGAGCCTCTGGGCGAGCGCGCCATGTCCTAACTCCGGCAGGCGAGATGTCCCGTCTGCGTGATGAACTCGTAATAACGTTTTATGTAGGGCCAGACTGTCTAGTCACAAAAATCTGCACGCAAACCTTTTCCTCTGAATACTACCAGAAGCTTGTACAATACACACAATTAGAGACGATTTAACAACTATACGCCCGGATAAGACAGAATAAAAAGTTGTCGACCTGTCGGTTAGAACGTATCAATTGTTAAATGGGCTACACTGTGCTGGACAAAACAACACGTTATTATACTGGGTTTTGGGTTATTCCACTCATCTATGGGGGTGTTGTGAATGTTCTATAAACTACATGTTCCAACTTCTATGGTTACCCTTTCTATTGTAATTATCACCGAAAACTCTAACGCCCATTTTGACCATGAATCCTCAACTGAAAAGATCAGCATGGAAGCAGTTCTTTAAACCAAATTATTAAAGTGGAAAAAATAGTTTCTTCCAACGACTTCTGATGAAGGAAAAAGCGACACCCACCCATGGGACGGGTCGTCGCGTGCAGAGATATCAAAAGACGTCATCAATAATTCAGAGCCCGGCATCAATGCCTTATTGACTTCGATGTCAATATCCAATATCTACACCTCATTTTCTACACAAAGGTAGGAGCAAATCCTGTTATAAAAGACGGGAGACTGCCAGAAACAAAAAAGAAAACAAAACCGAGCGAATGATATGGCCGACCGGACACAATTGGTGTGTACGTTTCTTGTACCAAAACAAGGAAGAGAAGTTACGAAAATGGAGATGATTGGATGGTGAATGATTTATGAAGTCCTCGACATGAAAAGGCAGCGGAGAGACAATGAGAAGAGTCGGGGAAAGGCCAACTAAAAGAACATCGCCCGGCAAAATGTCACAAGGCACGGTTCTGTCACAGTGTTAGGCTCCGTCGAGTCGTAGACGAGTATGTCTTATACATGTTACAGCTTATACGAAACATCTCAAACCAACGTGATAACCAAAATGCACAAGAAAAACACAGCCAGGAAAATTCCTGAACATAACCAGAATGTAGTCATCTCGTTGGAACGTCATTTCTTAAAAGACCAATTCCATTCCTGAGAAGTCATTCTCCCTGAGTTACAATTGGCCTCATTGGTACGAGTTGTCCATTTACAATTTTCATAAAAGTGTTCTTGTTATCCATTTAATGACACAGTACAGCAGAGCTACCATACGTGTAATAACAACAGGCTCAAACAGTCGTCTCTAAGATAATCTATTACAGTAACTATAGTTATGTGTGGGACAATTTCTTTTGTAAACATTCACTCAGTTCTGATGAAGAGCCAATGCAGGAATAAGTTACTAAAACTTATTATTCCACTGCTATTCCTTACATAGCAAATACTGAACTGGGATGATGCATATAAATTCATTCAAATGGATAGCAGTAAATAGAGGGTAAAACATAAATGTTAACTAACTTCTCGGTTTATATTATCAGATAGAACATTGAAAAATAACCTATCGCCTCACGCATAATTAGAAGAGACAAAAATTGATTGCAAAAATTTGTTTGTACAGAATGTACTCCTCATTTCTAATTTTGACCCGTATAGTAACAACACAATGCACGGTTCTGAGTACTGTTTTATTGCGTGTGTTCCTCCTGACTTGTAACCTTATACTGGCGTCTCAAAATAAGGCAAGTACAATGGTTCAATTGTGTGTACAAGGAAAGTCTGATCTGCAACATGATATCTGATGTTGGTCAGCGTTTTTAGAAACAAAAGAATCCAGAAGCATCAACAAGTCAATACTTCAAGACGTCGATATCCATACATGAGGGCACAATGATAGTTTTATGGACCCATAAATTCTAGCCTCTACAGATAACGTGCCCTCATTGTGTCACAGTCGATCATGCAAGCAACGTGTGTATTATAGAAATGTTTGCAAATTTGTATAGTTTAAAATCTATATATGGATTCGTATACGTCAAAATGATCACTACAGTAAGATTGCCAATACACTGAAAAGTATCTCTTAAAAACTAAATCGCTGTACGTTTGCGTAGGAATTCTGTCTTTCTTGGAACAAACACATTTGTCTTGAGATACCATTGTCATGATTTCGACGCTATATCGTTACTACTGTTTTAGTTGTCACAACTAACGATAATCGATAGGTATCAGTGACGTGTTGAATTGTATTTCGTGATTTCCATTTGTTATCAATACAACAGGTGACGTAGATAAGTCTTCATCTGCTTTCTTCAAGAATTGTTCGGTTACGTGCTGAACTGATCGTTCTCATATCATAAGCTAGAATGTATTGCATCTATTACTAAATATTAGGCACTTCTATGTTTTGTATGTTGTTTTTATGATTGTCATATATAGGTAATTAAAATAAGACTTTTGTTAAATAGTAGGTCGAACAGATAAAAGGGAAAGCTACTAACAATGGCAGTTATGTGTATTTCTCAATAGATAGCATTGAGTCCTTTTGATCAAGTCTATCTGTATCTGTATCTATCGTATTACTTGAACCCCCTTTCATGTGTGTCCGGAGCAATGACCGAATTTCTTTCTTCTCTTTGAGAAAAGAACGTCCAGGCACTCTTATAGGTAGGATTATTAGGTACATTTGTTTGAAATGACTCATAGGGCGTTTACATCACTTAGAATTGGTCCCAACAGAACGGGGAAAATCCTGTTTTTCAATGTTTCTAGGAAACTACTGAAGATTGTTTGCCACTGTTGATGTAGCTTGGTGACCGAAGTTTCTGCTCTTTGGTGACGTTGCCTGGTCTAGCAAAGAAGCAATAACATTGCCCTTTTATTCGGCTTGTTGTCCTTGCCCCATCCTTTTCTTCAAAAGTTGTGTGTTTAAGTTCTTGAATCGGTCACGACGTCTTAGCAGTGAATTGATTCTTGGAAGACTCCTTTGTTGTAAACGAAGAGGATTATTGATTGACTTATTGGTGCAATAATTATGACGCCTTCGAACACAAAGGACGAAACCGCGTGGTCACGACAGATGGGTTTGACCACCATGTAAGGAATTATGGATACAAAGATTTGCGTGTGGAACAGTGTAAACAGGAAACTATTTACACGTATTACACCCACATAACACGTAGTGACGTCAAGCAGTAGGGCATTCAACCCTAAAACTCTGTTTGTCTCTGTACGTCAGAATTAATCTAAACTCAGTGGGATTAAGTTGTTACGTCATTTCTTCGATTCTTTATTCTCTCAAATGGTGCTCTCATTTGCCCTTGTGGACGACCCCTAGCCTCTACCAGGCACCGCGGATCGCTGGAAAAATAGTAGAAATTGGCCAAAATAAAGGGGGAGGATCTCGGGCCATAGAAGATCCAATTTGCGTCGCTAGACGACCCCTTCCGTCCAGTTTAAAAGGGTGAAACCGTTCAAACGCCGCCACGAAAACGTTTGATTTTACAACACAAAAACATAAGATGGAAGAAGTATCCATAGCAAACACGAGATGTGAATAAGGAGAGCAATTTACTTGGGATTTGAAGATCGCCATGAGATTTAACAACGTTTGCCTTTTCATGCTTTTCAAAACATATACGAACATGGCTGGGAGATACAGAAGTTCGGATTAAGTGTTTTCGAGTAGACTTTAAACGGCAAGAATGAACACACCACAAGTTTTCTGCAACTGCTTGTTCGGAATTCCAATCTGCTATTAAACGACACTATCGCGTGTTGCATATCACTTTACCATATCCCGACTTGGCACGCATTCCGCTGCACTGTCCTTGGTGCTGAATGACGTTCTATTGTTGCAGGAGTCAACTGACATTTTACCTACTGCGAAACAGCAAATGGGCGTTCTGAATAACAGGACGCCTGCGATAGTAAAAGATCACACCATAGTACAATAGCCTTGTCCCCGCCCGACCCTTGTACCACTAACTGAAAATATGCTTCAAACATTCTGGACTATGTGTGCCTTCAAGCTTGTGTAATATATTCATGGCAAAAATTAGGTGATGTTCCTCTGTCTGTCTGTCTGTGTTGTAGCAAAACTAAAAATACAATTAAAAACTCAAATCCATATTGGATTTATCTTTATTAAAGCAATTACATGACCTATAGGCCTGTTCACAAAAACCGTCAACTGTGCCCTTGGATAATACATATAACGTTAAGTGTTTCAAGTCAAATTCATTTGATGCATTTATAAGAAACACACAATGTTCCCTGTGTTCTGTTCAAAAACTTGGAAGAAAAGTGAAAATGTGGAACTGTGCAGAAAGTGGAAAAAGTCTGGAAGATATTCAGATAAAATTTACATAGTTCTGATTTCTGGTACTACTATGTGTGACTCTTTGCTGTCCACTGAGTCAGCAGCTCCTTGATTTGTTTGCTGTCTGTGCTGTCCAGGGGAAGGCTGCCCTCACTGTCAGGTATGGAGGGGTCAGCACTGCTGTCCAACAGCAGCTGTACAATACTGAGGAACTCACAGGTAGCAGCTAGAGGGGGGGGGGCAGAAAAACAGCAACTGATTAAAAATGTTGCCAGCCAACTTCACAGTACAATGTTACAGAATCTTACAGTTACACATGGCAAGCAATCATTAAGCTTCTGTATAGCAAAAATACACAATCATAAATTTCAAATCAGAAAGCTGACATATTGTCTTCTACTTTTGAAATTTGACAGAAATGAAAAGCAGGTATACCTTAGTGCAGACTCACCATAATGCAAAGGTGTTTGTCCATCTTCATCCTGAGATCATAATAGAAAAAACATGTTTCAATCCTGGTATGTGGAAACAGAAGTATAAGAGAATTATGGACACTAAACAGGCTTGACGTTAACAGTGTACCTGGATGTTGATGTTTGCCTTGTGTTGTAGTAATTCTCTCACAACATCTTCATGTCCTCTGTCACATGCCCAGTGTAAGAGAGACAGGCCCTGGCAAAAAAAATTGCAAACAAGACATTTCACTTGTGTGAAACTTACAAGTACCTTAGTCTTACTTCAATTGAAAAGTTATTTATGGGTTGATACTTTCATTCCTTGAAGAAATACTATCAACCGATGATTTTTTTTGTCACAAACAGCTGTGTTTAAAATACATGTAGAAGCATTCAATCTAGTCTGTGATACTTGTAACTTACCTCTGCATCCTGTTGGTTGATATCTACATCCCCATTGGACAGCAGCCTTGCCATTTGCTTAGTGTTTCCTTCTTTACACCAATCAAACACTGTCTTGTTTTTGTCACTGAAATGAGGTAAAAGATATTGTCAATGATTATCACATAGCTTGAGGCATCATTTCATTGGACAATTCATGTTTTGTGAAGTCAGATTTTTTATGACTACAATGTGCTAGACTTTAGAAAGACTTCTTTGAAAACTTACCTTATATACTCCTCTTCAAATGACATTGTACTAACTACTGGGCCCATGAGTGTACTCTTCTTGGAATCTCCCTGGGACAGAAATGAAATGTTGGTAACATGTTTTTCAAAATAAACAACTTAACTACTAATATGTGTTCTAGTGTCTCAAGTGAAATCTGAGAGGCTAATGCTAAGAAGACCATTTTAATACAACCAAAAGATCTAAGATAATGTTGTAGTGCATTGTAGGATGTTACTGTAATTACTGACTCCTTCTCTTGGTTCCCATGTAGGATCTGCTTTCCTCACACCATCCACATACTCTGTCATGGCCTGGTCCCGATCCATGTCCTTTAAACTGTTCCATGCATCCCTAGACAGAGAATCACACAACATGGTTATATGTATTATAAATGATCAGAAAAGCCTGCTTTAAATGAAGGATGAACCAGAGATTGTGCATCACACTTGTTTGGAAGTGTGTCTTCATAACGCATACATGTTAATATTCAAAATGCTAACTTTGTCTATCTACAACCATTTTGTGCATTATCTAAATACCCCAGTAGGGGGCAGCCTGGCACTATACTCACCATTTCTGTTTTCCTTGGAAGTCAAAGAAGCCCGGCTTGGGAATGTTACATTTTCCTACATTAACCTACATAAAACAGAGAAAAAACATAACATGTAATGTCATTTAACGTTATTATAGTTCTGTGTTCATCACTCAGATTTAGCATTCCCAAGAAGCTCTTAGTTGATGTAACATTACACTAATCGGGGAACTGCTAGAACTCTAACTACAGTTGTTTGTTACAGTTTTTGTCGGCACAAAACTGCATCACAGATAAGGTATTAGGCTTGTGTCAGTATATATATATATATATTCAATAGATAAACAAACCACATTATGATTAGATAGACTCTAACAGTAGTTAACATCTCCCACCTGACATCTGAACAATTGACCAGAAGTTCTCCCGTAAGCGAGTAATAATCTCCATATCTCACCTGTTTATACCTGGCATACAGGTACAACAGTTGATCACCGTTGAGCTGCGGCGCTATGGTCGCTACGTGGTCCACCGCCTGCTGAAACACGTCGGACAGGGAAGAACTACAACTGTCGTCTGCACTGGCGGCCATGTTGTTCTGTTCCGTCTGTCGTCTGAAAGCCGCAAATCGTCGGACACTCATATTTTACGACAACTTGACAGTGGAGATAGATATTATTCGTCGTACATTAGAGATATGAAATATATAACCGAAAATTACAGTAGATATGAATTTTTATTAGCTTTTTAAAAGTTATGAAAACTTTTGATATCTGTAAAATTTTTACGACAGTGTTGTGTACCTGCGCATTGACCCGATGGAGACAAGATGGCGGCCTGTGACCACCTGTGATCATCACGTCGAAGATAAACTCGCTTTTCCAGACGAATAGGACACTAAACCCGAGTGTGATGGTGCCAGTGATCGGCAGATAGCAAGAACTTCATAAAAAGGTGACGTTTCAAGGAAAAGGGCGCTTGGTGGAGGACCATATCGCGATTGAAGCATCGAAACATCGTTGGTAATAACCCGGAAGTGAAACTACACTCTTCATCTTTCACGCCGTTTACCACCTGTTTTACGTAGCTTCAGAGCGTCTTATGAGAGATTGTGGGATTATAATTGCAGCGGTTTACAGGAAGTCATTGGTGCGTAGCTGCTACATTTGACTGAGCTTCATCAAAAGCAATACTTTGTTCAGCAACATCGTTTTCAACCGTTCAGTTCACATCATAGGGGTTACATAAAGCTAAATGAGCTGGGATGATGGTGTATTAGTTTATGACTATACAAGGGCTGGACTTTGGATTCGTGACATGTATCTTCAATGCATCACTCTCGTCAAAGAATCACAAGAACAGATTGCTAGATGTTGAACCAATGGTGAAGTGGAATAGTCTACAGCAAACATCAGCGACAGTGTCCGATGTTCTACAAGAGAAGAAACGCACACCTCAGCAGATCAGCAGAAGAAACCCAGACGGTAAGACGGACACCATGCCGTTTTTCCCCGCGCGTCGCACGCGCACCTTCTCCGGACCCCACTCCACCTGCCTCCAAACCGCCAACACATACGCTCGCAGGCTGCACAGGTCCAAGGCCGACAATGTGGCCTCGTTCGAGATCTACCACCGCTGTCACCCCATGCACGGCCTCCTGAGACTGGTGCTGTACCTGAGCGCTGCTCTCTTCACGCTGGCAGCCTTCGTGTTCTGTGGGATAGTCTTCATGTCAGAGTACATCTTCATACAGCTTTTCCTTAGGTCAGTGTTCATTAATGCGTAATGGATGTAGCTTGGTATCCAATGCCCATACCTTCATGCAAAAAGTAGATAAGAGACCCTTGGAATAACGATAGAGATAGTCATACCATGCTGTGATTGGCCAGCCCAAGCAACATGACAGATGGATATACTGGTATTACAGATATATGGAATGTTGACTTTTCCTTTTCTTTCATTGATGACATTCAAAATGTCTAATAAAACATTGTATCAATCCAGTTGTAGTATTATCAAAATTCATACACATGTGATAATGTCTTTCTTCTATTTCCACAGATTCCAGTACAAGCTAACAGTTCTACTTATTCTGATGGGCAGAAGAAGAATAGACTTTTCCAAGATCAACACCTTGATTATCTATTATATCCACTTCACCATGCTGCTAGTAGGAGGCTTTGGGTGGTGTTCTCTCATGTTTGTGGAGTTATGACAAAATATACAACACTGCAATGACTTACTAGTATAGTATATAAGAAACAAAACCTCAACCTGCAATTTGTACCCAAAACCTTCCCCTATATTGAGTCTGAAAAACCAATACATAGTGCAGGTATTGGAACTATTGTGTTACACCTTATTAAAGGCTTGTACTCAAGAAAACCACAGAAATGTTGCATTCCATTTAGTTACAATTTATCCCTAACTAACATATTACCGTATAGTCGAAGTATATGCATATAACGTTACTGTTTCTTAATTTCTTTCATTGGCCAGATGGCCAGAACCAGTAAATTCTTTGATAGATAATGTAAATGCAATAATGCTTAATTAAGGTTGTTGTGACTAATAGCAATTAACAGTATGAAATAGAAGCATAGAGATATGATTGTTACAATGACATAAATGAAAGACCTTTTATAGTCAAGTATAATGTATATATGCAGTGAAGTTACATGAAAACACCAGATCATTGACATTGCCAATTGTTTTATGAATACTGTTGTAAATCATGCATATTCAACAAAAACATGTGAATCTGCAAATATCCACTGATGTTTTACTATGATATTAGCTATGCAATGTACTAGTAATTCATGTGTTACATTAGGAAAGTGTTGCAATGTTATCCCCATTATTGGTGGCACTGAAGGATTAAAGAATGATATGTAGAGATGAAAGATGGTAACAATTGTAGTGAATTCTAGAGGTACAAAATGCATGTTATGTTTACCTACAGGTTCTTAAATTATGCCCATAGACAGTAGTGTAACAGAGTATTGTAACTAGTCGTACACAAAATGTTTGGCTGAATGTTGTGGACATATTTTGTACCTTTCCTATAGTGACATATTGTGCATTTGCTCACAAATGTTGTTTTCTGAGTTAGGGGATGCATTTGTATGTTGAGATGGATGTTATTGTCAGTCTCCCCATATAGGGTGACATGCAAGTTCAATACTGCCATGAACATGCAAAATCCATAGAAAGAAATTGTTGTTTTTGTTCCCCATGTATTATGTTGACTATGTTCACTGTTATGCAAAGATCATCATTTATAATTGTGTAAATAAATTTTGTATTCAAACATATATGCCTTTTGTAGTGGTATTTCACTTTGTTATGATGAGTCAAGATAATTACAGAAATGTGATTTGTAAGGAAATAGGAAGTTTATTTCAACTGATCAAGTGCTAGTTGTGATACTTTCTGTGTTTTGTTCACAAAATGCTATTGCTACATGTAGCATTATATAAAATGAGACACACAAGAATGCTCAGCACAAGAGAGATGATAAAATACCTTAATGTATTAAGAGAGTGGACACATGGGTACACAACATGAAGCACACTGCCATAGAAGCTATGTACAGTACATCAATACAATACTGGTATATGATATCATAGGCAAGTTTTTGAGGAATTAGAGCACTTTGACCAACTTTAATATACATTGCACAGAGCATGAAAGGGAAACATAGTCATACCAATGAAATTTCAATGACATCTTTCCTACAAGAACACTACTATAAGCATATCACAGGCCTGTGGTTGGTGTTTTTTTTTTTCATTTTTGCAATTATTACTATACTGCAAACAAAGCAGAAATCAAGGAAATCATACCTACTAGCTTGCCATATGTACACAAAAGCTGCCTATTCATTTTGTGATCATACAGGTCAGTGTGACATTTCATGTTTCTCCAAATGAATGACAAAATAGTTTTGCAGCATGAAGCAGAGAATAGCAGAGGATACTAGTACACTGTTCTGACTAGTTATACACACAAGATATTTTACTGAGTGACATAGAAAATAATGGACTAGCAATGAGGACATTGTGATCTTTGACTAATGATAAACTTACTCTGGCCCAATTGAAGTACAGTTCTAAGATACATGTATATTGCTTGCTTTTTAACATATATAGATACTGGGCAGTGTATGACTACACAATGGAATGCACTGTATAACACTGGATTAGTACAATAATAGTACGGAAAGCTGAAAATTTCACAGAAATTGCTGTGGGCTGTTACACTTAAAAATAGGGGTGGAAGATTGTATTCAATTTATTGACTAACATTAATTCTGGACACACTCATTAAAATCAACCTCCCATTCTTTTAAAATGCAACTGCCCAAAAGTGCTAAACTGTAAATGCATGTATAATACTAGCGAGATATTTACAAGAATTATCTCCTTTACTTTATACCACAGAGCATTTTGAGAATTTTCAAGTCACTGTGATTACCACATCTTCTTGATGTTCAGAAAATACAGCAAAAAACAGTTTACTCCAAAAGGTTATAAAGAAAAGAAAACTGAACAAGTACTTTGACTGTTAAAACTGTACAGTTGGAAGTAACAGTTTAACTGTGTTTTTTTACAAATTCAAAATCATAGTCTTCCTAGCTTTGATAATTTCACTTGGTTTAATGACTAACGAATCAGACTGACAACAACAAAAATCTTCACTCAATTATGATTAAAACAACAAAATACAATGTGATAAAATCAGCTTGGTTCATATGAGGCAGAGAGATTTAGTAGACAAAGATCACTGGTTCAAGTCCCACTAATGGTACATGCAGCTCTACATCCCATCTGTACCATAGCATAGACCAATGAGAATTTTTTTAGGCTGATATGTAGGCAATATGGACAAAATAAGACAAAGTTTTACAGAATAAGCTCCAACTGAGATACCATTTGACTTCTGAAATTGCAAAATCCTTTTGATATCAGCATCTATGCATGTCTCCCTGTGGGCATGTACCTTAGTCATTTTTCTGTGAAAATTTCCTAAAACCCTGCCTAAGTTACAAATTACACGTATAGATGATCCATAGAAATGTTGCATATGTTAGTGATCTTTTCTCAACTGCCTTTATCTTTAGCACAAATTTGGTGCAACAATTCTTCTTCTAAAAAAAATGAAAACAAAAACCACTGGATGATCGTAGTGGAAATTCTCCCTACTATAAGGTCAGGAACAGAATGATGAGAATGAACATGATGACCAGCAGCACAATAATTGCTGTCCACTGACGCTTGTCTGGGGAGAAAACAGAGAATGATCAGTTAGTTAGAGATGAAGCATCTATGACACAGCTTAGAACTTATAATTAAAATATTCAACGCAATGTAGCCTTAATCACTTTTTAAATGGAAATCTAATAAAATGAGCACATTACGTATCTGATGAACAAATGGTCAACTTACTGTACCAAATCTACTAACAATGTCTGTGATACAATGTTAACTTGATACATTCTTTACAAATACTTTTATCAGATGAACTAGTTGCAATGGGCACACTGCCAAACCTACATAACCACATTAGAGCCTGGATAATTGGCAACATGTGGTTTTCTGCTGTCCAAACCTTTGCCCAAGTCTAGCCATGCAAAACATCATGGATATAATTACACAGAGCACTGAGTGATCACCTACCATTGGACATGTGTGAGACTTTTGCAATTTTTTTGAGAACACCGTCCAGTCTGGACTGAGTAGAGTCGATCTCGTGTCCCAAGTCATCTAACATTCTGGAAGAAAATAGTAACAACTTATAGTTACAGACAGCATTTGATGATATCTACTTGAGCACAGCTTTGTGCTTCAAAATTTCAGAAAATCTAAAGCTATGTTAGTATGTATTCCTAAAGTTAAAACTTAAGAATCTGACTTATATGTGACATTACAGAAGTGAAGTCATAAGTAGTACAAGTAAACACAAATTGAAGACATGTCTGTAGATGTGGATAAAATCAGGCCAATAAAACATAAGTTTCACAACAGAATGTACAAATGTATCTGTGAGCCCACTGCATTTTAGAAAGACTATATGAAGGCATTGAAGACTCCATAACCAAATGGCAGGTAAAATGTAGCTGGTGCAGGTAATTTTCAATGTTGCCTAGTACACTATTGCAGGTATGTAGAAAAAAGTACTCTAGTATTTTGAGCCCTGAGCTCAGTACTTACACAGCCTGTTCATCCAGCTCATTGCCTATCTGATGGGACATGTTCTTCAGTACACCTACACTGCCTGATACCATGTCCAACTGGTCATCCTGGGCCTCCACTATCAACTACAAAAACAAGATGTTCAGAGAATATCTGTTACACACTCAAGTAGGTCTGTCACACAAGTTTGTATAATAATCTGGTAATATAATGCAGCATTGCTACAAATCTTCAAATATGGACATGGATGTCTCCTGACTCACAAATTACTTAAGTTATATTATACTGTACAGACTTCTATTGTTTAAAATACATGCTCATCCATGTGATTTGACACTGTAGTGCTGAAAAGTTGTGTGATACTTCTTTATAAGTTTGATATGATCACAAAATATGACAACCCTGTAGCTGGTACTAAGACTGTTCCAGATTATTTACTTAAACTGTAGGAATTAAGACAAGAAATAAAGAGAGTCTGCTGGCTCACCTGTTGTTGTTGTCTTGTATCAGATATAAATTTCTGGTTGGTGTTTTCCATCTCTGAGTCCAGTTTTGTGTAGCGGTCCTGCCGTTTACTGGGACCGTTGAAGAGGTGCTGTAAGGGAAAAAATTATTGTTTTATGAATCAAAAGGTGTGTGTCTAGTCCTAATTGATTAAGAATCTGCCACACATACACACATACAAATGGACAAATCTTAATTAGAATAAATACACCAGCAGCATTGAAAGTTTTGGAAGACCCATGTATACGGAAAGCAAATGAGTCTAAATTTAGGAAGTGAAGAATTATTTACCCCCATCTGTACCAATTATAACTGACATAACTACTAGTAGTATTAATATGTGTTTGAGCATTGAAAAACTGTTAGTGCTACCAAAAATAAAGTTACAAAATCATGCAAATCTAATAAGATATATCATAAGAGGGCACTTCTGTTCCATGCAATTTACTGCAAATTTGTCAACAGAGAACTCAACAGCATCAGTAAGACCAAGCCCGAAAAGTGGTTAAATAAGAAGCTTGGTTAGTAACTACCAGTACTTAACCTTCTCCCTGCTGTATAACACCATGAGCAACAAGAATTTGGTGCCAAAGGGCTAGTTTAGCTGCGTGAGGGTTAATCACACCAGAGGGACAGAGATTTTCTCCCAGCACCACTGCAAAAACCAAGGTGCATGGTGGGATACCTCTCTTTCCCTGCTCCTGTCTTCCTTTACTGGTTTTTTCTCCTTTACCGGTTTACTGTCCTGTATTGTGGGTGACGTGTTAACGTGCAGCAGCTTTGATTTCATCTCATTTTGTGTTTGCTGGAAGGGAGGTGCATTTTTTACAGTGATCAGAAACTGTTGTTAGGACTACAGAATGTGTGTAGAACATCTTCAATGCAAAAGCTGTCAGATTTTCTGAAAGAATCCACCATTTTGAATTCTCATAGAACAGTCTTGTGTATACAATACTTTGAAGGAAAGTCTTAAATATAATACTAGTATATTTGCAACTCAAGATACTGTTTGAATCTGTGTCTGAATCACAGGTCTTGTACTGTACATGTATACATCTGACAGCCTTCACAAATCCACGAGTTCTACCCAAACACACATACATCACACTGCAGATAACCCATGTGTACCTGTCTATTTCTGCCCTCTATTCTGGCTTTGGCACTTGGACTTGCCATGTGATCCTTCATTTCCTACAGAGGTAATAATGGGGTGAGAACATGTAAAAAAACTGGAACTAGTGTAAGGGCAATCCTTTACACAGTCCATAGACTTAGTCACTAGTAATTTATTTTGACACTAAAAATAGACTGTACCAGTATAATCAAGTCTATTGAGGTTTCAAACTCTGCAAATATTCACAATATCAGTATTGGTGTCTTCATCATTTCTAATTAGCAAAATTTGATGAAAAAAAAACACTTGTAACTTTATAGATTGTAAAGGACTTATGAAAATGGCCAAATATTGCAAACAGTGCCATACTATCTTAAGCTACTGTATATAAAAAAGCTAGAATCACCCAAGGGGAGTGAAAAAGGACAGTTTCTTCATGTGCTGGACTTATATTTCACCTTGACACTTTGTCGTGTCCTTGAGATAAAGGCTCGTCTGTCACCAAGTTCCTGCTGGTCAATCTTGAACTTCCTTGGGTTGGATTCAACAATACTTGAGGAAAAAGTTAAGGTCCTTTTTTTACATTTACTTTCAAATGACATTTACTTTCACTCATGTGGAGGGATGATATGCTGGTATCTGTGATCAGGATGATAGATTTTAACATAATCAGGAAGTTTATGATTTTCTTCCGCTTTCAGACATTTCATGTCACAAAAACTACTACACAACTAGTACAACCCCTGACAGGCAAAATATTTAGAATGTCACTGACACACAATGTACCATACCAGCATCTATAACAGTTATGTCTGTATCAAATCTGAGCTGATTATAGTAATTTATACAATAAAGCATTGATTCTTTACAGATGACGTTTCTCTATAGACATATCGGAAATCAGAAGAAAGATACAAAAAGCTAATAACCATTATCGCCGTTATCATAGTATGATACCCATCTTATTGCTCACACAAAGGATATTTATTGTCTCATCCAGATCCTCCAAGTCCCACTCGATACTCCGCAGGCTATTCCGCAGCTCATTGCTCGTCCAATCATACTCCTCCTTACTGACGGAGACAGGATCCTCCAGGAGCTCACACCAGCGCTGATACAGTCCTGTGGCATTCTGCACCGCCTTCTGTACCTCACTGGTGGCGCGGGAGGGAATAATGGATATGATTAGTCTGGCTTTATACAATAAACATTTGCAGGGGTCTCCCCAGTAATTTTTTAGGGGAGAGGTGATGTCTAAATTTTTAATTAGAGTCTAATTGGTTGATGTTGAAAAAAAATTAGCGTATTTTCATTAATACTAAGAGAAAAGCCTAAATTTTAACATTTTGGGAGGGTGCTATGATTTTGAACACCCTTGCTTTATTGCTTGGGGAGAGCCCTGATTTGATAAAGAATGCCAGTTCATGTACTAGCAAAACAGTCATAACTTGGGGCCAGCCATGCTCAAAGCTAAATATCTCTGGTTCCTGCTTTAGTATGAAACACACATAGAGAGGGTCAGGCCAAGGAAAAAAAATGTTGTGTTTCCTGTTTCAGTCCAGAAAAAATTAGGGTCGGTAGGTAGGGATTATCTTATTTTATTTTTATTTTTATTTTTTTTTAGACTTTGCTGATTGCTGTGTTTATATAAGCAGAACATGATGAAAAATCGATTGTGCAATATTATATTTCATCACTCAGGTACTCAGGTGTCAGATCATGGAGCTTTAAACGGTCGATCAGCTCGAAGAACTTAACAGATGTCCCTAGCCCTTGCAGGACTAAATTCAGATTCAGGTCCTGATTCAAGTCTACAGGTTTTCAGGGTTCTCCCAGGGATTTGGGAGAAAGAAAAGAAACAAAAAAGAATTCTAAAGAAAAAAAATTAATCTGCACAAAATTTTAATTGGTTTCTATCCCTTCGTTTGCCTAGAAATCGATAGTGTGATTGTATCAATTTGAAACCCCAAACAAGAAGCCATAGGCGACAATTCTCCGTGAAGTATTATATATTGCAACAAAAAGAAGTAGCCATTGGCGACAATTCTCTGTGAAGTGTGATAAATCGAACAAAGAAAAATTGTTTAAACGCGCGTCGGCTCAGTCATCTTAAGACGCAACAACCAATCAGAGATGCGAGATGCCTACACGTGACGCGGGAAGGGCGCGCGATGCCCGAAATATTTTTGCGTCAATATTCAGCGCCGTGATTCAAGAGATTAATACCCGGAAACAATTTTTTTCTTGTTTTGAACGCATTAACATGCATTTACGCTAATCTAGTATGATTCAGGGTTACTTTTTTTTAACCTGCCATGGCCAGATTATCTAAAGATGTGTGTATTGTGTGTACAATCTATAGAAAGAGAAATGTACATCAGGTCCGATCATCCGATTTTCACGTTTCGGTTTTTTGGACTCGGTTCATGAACGTATTTTGGTTTGGCTCCTGGAATGTGCAAAAAAATGACTCCCGGGACTGCCTACAGGGAACACTCGCACATTCGCGGTGTATCAGGACAGCGCGACTGGTCGTCATTAGCGCAGTAACAGTTGCATAAACGGACGAAACCATTTCAAAGAAATGGGGATGTTTCGAAAATAAGCATTTACTCCAATATCAAAACAGCTACAGTAAAATAAAAAGACGTGCATCATCCCGGACATAATGCAACACCACATGCGAAATTACACAGAAATGCGACGTACGGAAGAATGCGTTTTGGCTGCGAACATCTTCCAAAAAACTTGGCATCTCTTAACCATGGGCAAAAACATCTGGAACCACTTATAAAAACCACCCCGTATCTGCATGAACTTTTTTGAACCCCACTGCTATTCCAAACAACGCGTTTTTCTGGACCATTCCAATTCGCCTCGTAATTGTAGGGGTGCGTCTGCGATATTACATTGACCGCGAAAGCAGCAACGGCAAAAATACACATTCGTGCATCAACACGGGCATGCCCGCAGACGGCGTATAAAATTGCGTGCCGATTACACAAAGAGAACCCAGTGTTTTGACTGCGAACATGAAAAATCAGCCGATTACAACACTCCGTCCGGAGGTCCTGACCTCCTTCACGGAGTAAAAATTAGCTAAATCGGCGATTTAAGGTTATTGCGCAATGGACCTGCCCTATGACCTTCAACCTTTGGGGGTCATGCAGGCGTCAACAGCGCCCTCCCCCATGCCTTGCCAGTCCGTTTTCGTGGGCAAATTTCTGCTTTTTTAGAGGTTTTGCGACCTAAAAAACTCACATCAGAGGAAAAATACACCACAGACGACATTTTCATGGTAAATATCGATAAATGGACCAGGCATTTTTCTGTCCCGTTGCCGATTTTGCTGATTTTCGCCATGTGCTTATAATTTGTTTACGTCGATAGCTACCTTTCCTCGTCCGGTTTTATGGGCAAATTTCCGCTTTTTTAGACGTTTTGGGACTAAAAGACCGACAAAGGGGGAAAAATAAAGCCTGTGGCTATTGACAGGATCGTCCTGTCAATAGCAGAAAATATTGCACTGCTGACAGGATCGTCCTGTCAATAGCAGAAAATATTGCACTGCTGACAGGATCGTCCTGTCAATAGCAGAAAATACTGCACTGCTGACAGGATCGTCCTGTCAATAGCAGAAAATATTGTACTGCTGACAGGATCGTCCTGTCAATAGTAGAATAATTTGCACTGCTGACAGGATATTTCCTGTCAGCAGTGCAAATTATTCTACTATTGACTAGGATCGATAAAATTTTGGTATTTTTATTTCGTACTGGTAAATTTTGGGGTGGGTCGCTGGTTCGTGTAGGTCTTATGTAG